ACATATATATATATATATTGTGTTGTGTATTTTTCATATTATTACCACTTATTGCTCTAACCTATTATAAAAGTGTCATTGAGACTTGTAAATCGTGTTTATACGTAATGTTCTTATAACTATAAAAACAGATACCTAATTTACCAATTCAATAATTAAATTTTTATTTGTACACTACATAAACGCGTTGTACATAATACTAAATAATTAAAAAATATAATTTATTTATTATTGTAAAAAAATTGAAATCCAATCTACGAATTTATAATGAAAACTCCGAAATCCGGATTTATAATGAAAACTTCGAAATCTGGATTTCGAAGTTCGAATACTACAACTCCGGATTTCGAATTTCGAAGTTTAAAACTCCGGTTTTTCGAACTTCGCAAAATCCGGATTTTCCCATCACTAGTACCTACTGCCTACTATCTACTGACTGATCAAATTCGTTAAAAATAAAACCGTCTTTCCTTAAATAAAGCTAGAAATAGTAGTGACCAATATTTTTTTACGTTCATGTGACATTGACGTCTTATCTATTTTTTTTATTCTATTCGTTCCCCCCCCCCCCAGGGATAAAGTAAATAAGCCCCTCAAACTTTTAATTATAGTTATGTATTACCATAGGGGTTTTTATTGAGACTAAAACCTAAAAATTAAATCTAAGAAGTTTTATCAGTATTGAATTTTTGCAATTAAATACTATATTTTTCCGCATCCACTTTGACTATTTTTGTAAATAAAATACTATTTTCCCGTGACCCACCCTGTATACATATTATATGGCTGGGTCAGGTACTAAAAATTGTCCGCAACGCTGGATGTTACTCTGACGTTACACACAGCGCGTCGGGGGAAGGAGGGGGAGATTAGAGATACTAGATTAGAGAACGCAAGCTGTTGTAAAGGGATGGAGTTAGAGATGGAGTTGGAGATGGGCTTGATTTCTTTGCCGTATACACACATTGTTTATGTTTGCTACGGTGTTCCTGGTTCCGACTAGTTAACTTGAATGAATGGTTAAATTGATTCAAAATAACTAACCAAGTGAATGTTGCCAATAAATCAATTAAGGCCAAATATTAAAAAAATACTAAAAAAACTTATGGCTAACAACATTTTTTTTAAATATCAGAAAATTATAAATGTATGTATACTTAAATTGACATTTACTCGGCCATAAGACATATGAAAGGCACAGGGGAAGAAGGGTAGTAGTCCATGTATGAAATTTTAACAAAAACAAAGTTCATGAATTCCTCTCTCTCTTACATGGAACAAAAAAAAATCCCATTAAATGCTATTCTACTAAAAAATGTATTTATTTAAACAATCTGTTGAATAAATAAAAAAAAATGAATGGCATATATTGAAAAAAAACATTTTCATAAATGGACTACACCCTTCTTCCCTTGTGCCCTTCATATACATGTGCCTATGTATCCGCTTGTAGTGTGCATACTTTAAATTTTTTAATTAACCTTGGTCCTTGCCCTACTTCCTCCCCATGTTTAATAAAATATGTAATTGCTATAAGTAAAAAAAAATTAAATAAATTATAAAGGTAATTGAACATTTTACGCTAAATGCAATAGTTTTTTACTTAAACTCAAAAAATCATAAAACTACCCTATTGAGGCACGTGAACAGGTTGAGTTATCACAACCAAATTCTACCTAATTTATTTTTTCATAGTAATGAACAAAATGGCGGGGTAGCCCATTGAAAAACAAAAAAAAAATTCTTCATCTATGACTAAGGACCACCCTAATGTACCCCATGGACGTTAACGAATGTTCTTTATGAACATAATGTTGCATAAAAGAAACAAATTTTAAGACCTAATTTTTAGTACAAAAAAATAATTTTTAATATTTTTTTACAACAATTAACAGCATAGAGAATCTTCAAAAATTAAAAGAAAAAAAAATGTCATGCAGTTAAGGTTTAAAGATGTTCACGATTGGAACTGGATCTGGGACTGGACCCTTGAGTAAGAGGGGACATAATCAATATAATGTAATATACATACCTATGTAGATCCAAAAAAAAGCCGAGACGGGGTTATGCCCTAGCATTAACAAAAAAGCATCAAGCGAATTTTCAACTGACTCCCAGCCCAAAAATATATCTATGTTATAAACTTGATTTTTTTACACGCAATAACTTTGTCAAAATTAAAACTTAAACGACCGATAACTGTAGTCAGAACTTATCCTAGGTTTGAAGGTTGTAGTCAGTAGTATAGGAAAAAGTCACAGATTTTGAGAAAAGTAAAATATGAGATACGTTTTACTTTTTTAAATCGGTAGACGGTAACGGGTAACATAATACAATTATTGTGATTTTTGATAAAATCTGAACATATAATAATGTACATTGAACAATGTATAATATGTAATTATATGTTTAAAAATAATAGTGAATTATAAGCTATAAGCGATAATGCTTTTATAACGTAATATATACCAACTATGAAGAATAGAAAATTAATATATAATTATCATGAACTATTATAATATCTATAGTTATGCCTAATGTTCTAATACAGTAATAACTAGAAGGTAAGTAGGTATACTGTCTGTTATAGTGCGAAACACGAATGCAAGCTCTAATGAACTAATAAAGAGTAAAATACAAGATTGTCTAAATATTATAATAGTATAAAAAATAAGTATACAATAATATCATAATAGATAATAATTAATACCTTTACTTAACAACACCTTAACTAATAACTTGTAAAGATTCATTGTGTAAACACTAAACAATATAGCGGTAATATACACGGACGGACGACCTGTTTATTGCACAAATGTTAACCTTATGAATTATTCAATAATACCAAAATTCACCTCATTTCACTCACCTTACTTTTTTAACGAAAATATTACGATTTAGTTTATGAACGTATGTATGGTTAAATGAGGTATGGTTTGGACACAATTGGCTATGCAACCTTAAAAATATATCTTTTTGTATGAATATGTATCTTTATTTCTCTATTTCTGTAACACGACACGTAGACTCTCAAATTGTGTTAGCCGTTAAGTTCTTTCTGCAGTTATACGAAAATAGCCTTGAAGAGTATTGTAGAATATCACGCAATTTAACAATAAATACGCTTAATTTGTGGGAAAATGTCATGAAAGTATACCTAAGCGAAACCTTAATTATCTTATTTTTTCGCGATTGCGTATATATAGGGTAAAGTAGGCATGTAGTTATTGGCACCTTCAGGAAATTTCACTTTTATATCATTATATGGTATAAATCTAGTTTACCGGGCACCCTTTTTTTTTCCTAAAAATAAAAATAGAAATAAAATATTTTGTTTTATATAATAGTTTTTTCTACCAAAATATCAAAAAAATTTGTAGACACTCTTGATATTATTAGCACTTTTGTCAGTAGCATTTACATTCCCTGAAAGCCAAAAATATTAAGACAAATTGGGTTTTAACTTTTAATTCTTTAAGTTGTATGTAGTTGTGATTCACTTATTTGTCAGGTATAGTTATTAGCATTGATTACAAGTACTATTAACATAAATAATTTAAATAATTATAAATGGTACTTATAATCAATGTTATGACTTATGAGTTACAACTATTTTTTTAATAGAATAAAGAACTAAACGACAAAAAATATTTAGACATTTTAATTTTAATTAAAAGTATAGATAACATTAATACAAATTAAACAGTTCTTTACATATTGATCATAGTTTAAGTCAACAAAACAAAATAAATATAAAAATGGGTTATGTTATAGAGGTACCTAAAAAAAAGTAATATCTAATGACTTTTGTAAAAAATAATCTATTTATTAGCACATTAATTATAATGCTTCTACATAATATGTAGAACAATACAATTTTTGCTAATTACATTGCAATTGTACTATATACAATTTTGTATTGCAACATAAATTAATGATTTTACCACATTATTGAATTCTCATATTGAATGTATATTGTTTAACATATTTGAACAATATTAATTAATTCAATACATGTCAAAAGGACCTGTTACAATTTAAAGAAGAAGAAAAAAGTTAATTAAATTTATTATCGCTGTACAATAGTACAAAATTAGTAATAGATCTTACTTGTAAATAGGAATGTTGATCATTTTTGAAGAAAAAAATAATCAGAATGACCAATATATCTATTTATATAAAAATGAATGTATGTATGTTTGTTTGTTTGTCCTTTATGAATTAGTACACTATTCGTCCGATCGCCATGAAACTTTGGGAAGTTGTTGAGCACACTCTCGCAGAGGTAACTGGCATAGTACTTTTCGAAAATTCTACCCCTAAGGGTGGCCTCAAACACGAACTTTATACTTTAAATACGAAATATTTTTCGTTGCTAACCCAAATTAAACACTTGGTTTGTAACCATGGTAACCACGGTACTCAAGTGAATGGTAAGTGATGACTGATGATGAATTCTATGTTGTGGCCAAAAGTTATTTAGTAGATTTTTAGTATATTATAAAAAAAACAGCACTATTTATCAATAAAACAATTTTGCAATACCATTATCTACATTAGTGCCAATAACTGCATACTTAACCAGTTTATATACATGGGTGTGTATATAAGTATAAAATATAATTTATAATTAAATAAAAATCTTAAACCATAAATTATATTTTGGATAACAACTGAAACTGTCGATACATATTGATATCAAAACGAATTTACGAATCGTAAAAAAATAGGGTTAGATTCTTCTAATACTTAGAAGTTAGGGCCTCCACACACATTCTCTCAGCGAGGCACAATTTATCTGTGATTACTGTTATAAAATTATAAATAAATACTGAATTTTTAAAATATTTAATACACGAATATTTAAAAAATTACCATAATTTTATATTAAATAAAAATGTTTGAAAATATTATGCTATATTAGTAATTACACTGCATTCTTCTTATACAGAAATCCAATAAGTATAAATATTTATGTTAAATTAATTTTTTATGATAACAAAATATAGGTACTTTATTAACTAAAAATATTTTAACTTAATACATAATAGTAATGATAAACAAAAATATAACATTTATACTTAATATATTTTCTTCATATACACATACATATATAAATAGAAAGTATATAAAACAAAACAATTATGCTAATAAAACTATAGTAATTCAAGATTTTATTGAAATATTTTTTATGTGCTCTAAGGTGTCTGTCAAAAAGTGTGGTACCATTTCTAAGAACATTTGCTGATTGATTTCTGCAGTAAACATAAATCTCTCCACATAGAATTGAGTTGTATAGTACTCATTTGGTATTTCAATTTTTTCAATAGATCTACATTAAATAATAGAAAACAAATTGAATCGTGTTATTACTTTGCGTACAAAATATTGCAATAATATATTTATAATAAATATATTATAAAATTATAAACCTTTTTTTTAAAAATTCTTTATTTTTATTAAGAACAACTATTCTAAATGTGAATTCGATTCCACACTCATGCACAAAACAACAGTTAATTATATACTATTAGTTTTTGTGCATGCTGATGTGTCCCACAAACATTTTCCTGATGTTTTTGTAAGAACAAAGAACAGAACATTCCTACAAATACATTCGCATTTTTGCACAATAGTGTGAACCCGACTTAACAAACATACTTGGTGCAGTGGCTGATTATAGATTTCAAATATTGAGCTAAATATTCAAGATACTGAGATGTAATTTCTGGATGAAATTGTCTTAAGAATGTTTGTACTCCAATATATAACGGTGCTCCATCTATAGGATCTCCACATCTTTTCCATAAAAGTAATGCTTAAACACAAATAAATATATGATGTGTTATAATATATATATATACATTTTTTTTTTAAATTGTATTATTTAATATACATTTGTCATTTTAGAAATCATACCTACAACATCTGAGTAATGCAGTCTCGGAAACTGAGCAGTAGTAAATAAAAATGTTATTAACGCCAAATATTGAGTACTACTAGTAGTAATATATATTTTTAAATATGGGTTTCCAATCCCTGCCCAATCCATCATTTTACTTAACTCGGATAATAATGGATTGTCATTGCTTGGATATGGTTTATTATTTGGGTTTCTAAAGTGTGTTTTGATCTCATTTAAGACAGCTCTGAAATAATATTTAAAATTAGTCAACACAGTTAATCCGAATACACTATTGCAATAATACTTATTCATTGTATCTAGACAATCAAACACATTTTTAGCATTTAGTTTGCACGAAACTTCGAGTTCAAAAAATATTTGTTTTCGAATTATTTGAAGTTGACCAATTTTCATTATTGACTCCAAAATGGGTGGAAATAATTTTTGTATTTTTGTATAATGCTTTTGATGCATTTTAAGGGGATTACCTAAAAAATTAATATAATATTTACAATACAATAAATGTCTTATACTTTACCAAAACATTTAAGTAATTTTTATGCTATTATTATACTTGATGTTTTACTCTACTTTGACTATACTAGTTCACTATTATCTCTTCTATGATTAATTTTTTTTCTATTAAACACTACCGTTAAACTCTACCCTATACTTTATTAACTGTTTAATAATAATTAACTGTTTTTATGTAACATATACAATTGTAGTAAGTTATTTACTGTGTCAATTAGGCAACTCATGCTTTCGAGTTAGCCTTTAACAAACATTGTTTCTTTCTTGAGTAATGAATTAATTTTTTACAAGACTTAATATTAAAATTTAATTTAATTTCAAATCTAAAATAGCTGTAATAGCATTCTCAAATAAATATAAATAACTTTTATGTGTAATACATAAAAGTTAAAGCTAAGACTTCTAGTATTCATTTATTTTAGGTTATTTGTTAATGGACAATTAAAATAGACAGTAATGAGTAATCATTTCTTTTTAGATTTAATAGCCATATATTTTATCAAGAGTAATATACAACAACTTTCTAATTAACATAAAACATGATTCTACTCACTTATGTCACCATCATTTACTGTTAAGTCTTTAGCAATAGTACCAAGTGTATACAGCCAATCTTTGTCTTTGACGACATTGGTTTGTAAGTAATCTATAACTTTCTATAAGAAAAACCAAATAAATATCATTAAACCATTTCTTAGTTATATAATATTTATTATAACTACTGAAGTAGTACTTCTTAGCTACATTGCTACTACCAGCGCCCTAATTTTTTTACTACAAAAAAAAAAAAAGTTGTACTACTTAAATATAAGTAAACGATAATAAAACTATTAACAACATTACAATCTAGTGATGCGTTTACCAAAACAAAGAAATTAATACCAATTATTAAAAATTATACTGAAAAATAAAGAACATCCTGGTATAAAAATGTAATATTTAATTATCCAACATTAAAACACACCTATGCAGAATACGTTTTACTCACTCCGTGATGATTTTAGAGCAAAAATAAGTTTAACAAAAAGGAAAAACGAGTAGATTTTGGAGACAATGACATTTTTATTTATAAACGTAATATTAAAATCATATATATTTCTTTTTTTTAAATAGCTATACATTTTTTCACGTTATTATTTTTAAAATTGTCTCCAAAATATTTTTTTTTTCGATTTTATAATAGGTGTTTTTGCTTTATATGGACCAAGCAATTTTGACCATTCTGCGTAGTTATGTATAGACAGAAATTTTTTTTTAACTCACCATCAAGGATGCTGTTATAGTCCTAACTACTAAACTAATAACTACACATTATACTTTAACTTTTAAATTCAAATTTTTCAAAAAGTTGCCTACATTTAACTTCCTTAATTAACAGGGGGTGTCACGTCCTCTTAAACATGAGTACACCCTTACCATAATATCGTTGTTAATCTTTAGTATATGTAATTTATGTTACATAAAACCTTCAATATAAATGCCAATGATATAATACTAAATTTTAATTTCTTATTTACAACTTTAATCTATTTTGCAGCAAAATTAAAAAAAAAAAAACCCCCGATTGGCAAATGTTATTTCAATTCCTATCATATAAAAACATTATCGTTTGTAACAGAGTACTTGACTATTGTAAAATATGACAGTACTGAAATTATAACTATTGCAACTAAAAAAGTACAATATTTGTAAAATATTACTGTTCTCTAACACTTACTTTAAGTTCAGTAACTATCATAAATCCAATAAGTTTATCTAAACCGGTGAGCCCACAAATACCTATAGAGTTTGTAATACACGAATAAAATCTAATATTTATAATCTCTTCATTTGTTTTGTAATCATACCAAGCTGTAGTTTGTTCTTTGTAAACTGTTATCCTATAAAACACAAATTAAACAATGTTGTTTTAAAAATTAAACATGAAAATAATAAATTTTGTATACTTGGGATCAGTTATGCGAATCAATTCTCGGGCTAGTCGACCAATAAAAGTCATGGATTGATTATCACAAGGCGGAAATGATGGAACAGGTACAACTTTACTTTGATAGACACTTTGCCAATCTAATATTTTAGCGCGCATAAAGCTATTACACTCCATTTCTACATTGTAACCAATAATGCGGCTTAATTCTTCTTGCCAAATTTTTAGGCCATATATTCCTATGTAATCTTGAATATACTCAAATGAGCGTCTGTAGCCAGCCATTGTATTACTAAGTGCCTCAAGTTTAGTTAGAAGATCACTAGTCTATAATAAAGTATTAAATAAAAATATTAAAATAATTAGAAAACAAGTATAACTTAAACTTGAAAAATTGTGAAGCAATACAAAAAAATATAATTTTAGTTTAAGGATAGAGAAGAGGAAGGTTCTGCTCTGACGTACTAAGAGGGCGTCTCACCGGTGATTTTCAGTGGTAAAAACATGTTTAAGCAGACTGAAAATAACTTGTTTAATTTTGGTTTTAGAGTAAAAGCCAGTTCTTGGAAAAACCAGGTAAGGCAGCTAGAGTATTATGAATAAAGAATCAATTCTAAGCTAATAGAGATTTCATAATACCTTAAAAAATTATCGACAAAAGCTTTAAATTTTTAACCCAGTAAGGCAATAACAGTTTTTTTTTTGTAACTTTAGACTTCAGTGATATTTTTTAATAAATAAAATTAGAAAATTGGAATTACGTTAAAGCCTTAATCTCAAACAAGCAAAAAATTTATTATTCTTCAAAAAAAAAAAACACCACTAAATAATTATAATAAATACACAAGTTATTTTACTTTAGTTTTTGGACTGAATATTAATCCATTATGCAATGCATTAGCAATATGTTGGACCAGTTCCTTTCTAATTCCATCTTCTAATAATTGTTTTGGATCGATTTCTACAACTCCAACAAGTGTACTCTTCATGCATAATACACCTTCAGTCAAAACTGATACAGAATGTGTTAGTCTTGCAACCTAAAAATATTTATACTATATTTTATTTTGCAAATTATAAATCTTATTTTACTACCTACCAAAACAAGTATAATAATTTGTTTTAATTAATAATGAGAAAATATTAATGTTATCTTATCTGTGGATATGTGTGTCTATTAGTACACATTTTTTACATTTATTATAATTTCTAATGCCCCCTCCCCCTCAGAAAAAAAAGTAGACAGAGTTTATGTAAGGTGGGAATGTACAGTGTCTGTTTCATAGTGCTGCAGAAATCGAACCCAATAACTTTAGTATCAAGTTTCAAGCTTCATGCCACTGCGTCACACACACTTTTTTATTAAATTGATTGTAGTTTCAACTTAACAAAGTTATTGCATAATTAAATTATTAAAATTTTTTCATGTTCCAGAGTTCAATAAACTTTACCTTCAGTCGTTCATCCAACTGTGCATAATCATTTAGTTTATCTTTTTCTAGTCTAGTTGGTATCTCCATAATAATTTCTGTTTGTATCCGTGCTATCTCAGTCATATATTTAAACATTGTTTTTGGAATGATATGAAGTACTTTACGTATGTACTCAATAAGTTCATGAGAATAGTATTTACTAACAGACATTAAATTTTCACTCCCACACTGGTTTATACGTATCAGTGGTACTTCCATACATGAGACTAACTAAACATAACAATTTCAATTATTATTACATCACATATTGCACACCAGCAGGAATACTGACAAAACTAAAAAAAAGTTAATGTTGGAAAATACACTTTTTTACTTTTTTGAAATACACATGGTTTCAAACAAAAAGAACGACATTTTAAATTATACTCTCTTTAATACTAAAAGTATAAAAAAAATATAAATAACTTGAAAAACAATGTTTTTGAGTCGTGTCACTATTCCTGCTGGTGTGAGTTATATCTATTTTGAAAGGTAATTCTTATTTCTATAGCAATACTTTTAGAAATGTAGCACGAAGTCTTATCACAAATGCTGGTTCCTCTTTGATTGTATTTTGCATTAAATTTGTAAACCTATCAATATGATACCAAGCATAACTAAAGTCTCCGATAATTTGAAGATCAATCAAAACATTGTCTTTAACACTGATTGTTTTTATCATCTCATGAAGATAACTGTGTGTATCTTTAATAGTCTGACTAACTTGATAATTATTTGCCAGTTGATGGAACTCTAATAAAAGAAAGATATTTTTTTAAGCAAGCAATATAAAATATAACATATTATTAATTTTAGTCAGAAAAAATACCTTGTACTTCTTCTAAAGCTTTAATTATCTGTGTAATTTTCCTACTAGTTACTAATTCTTCATCCATATTGATTTTTTCAATTTGTTTACCAATATTTATAAACCAAATCTGTAAATTTTCTTAAAAAAATAAATTTATTATTTTACTTAAAAATGTTCTTTTAACATTGAATATTAACCTACCATTTTTCTGAATTCTTGACATTGTTGCTAATCCTGAAAAAATTTCTGACAACTCATTCATACGTTCAACACAGTCATCTTTTCGTTTCAGCCACCTAGCTTCTTTTTCTTCTAACAACTATAACAAATACATACAAATTAAATATAGTAAATATTATCCTTGAAGGAGGAGATCAGAATACTCCTTGTGTTACCTCTACCTCTCGTAAGAGGTGACAAATGGGGTTGCGTCAGGTCAACAGCCGGTGTGATATTTCATCAAAAAGTATAAGGAGTCCTAAACGAGGCTTAGGTGGAGGAAGATATGGGAGATTGTGTGAAGTGAAAGTTTTAGCCTAGGATAGCTATCCCTAAATAACTGAGATGAAGGAGAAGAAAAGGATACATAGTGTATATATTTATATTCACTATTCAAATTTCAAACATAAATAACTCTAAAAGTAATTATCCAAAACTAATCTCAACCAGTTAAAATGTTCAGTAAATTATTCTTAATTTAAAGAGCTAAATAATTATACACGTTACCATTTAAGTTTTGAAAGTTGATAGAAAAAACTTCTTCAATTTGCGTAACAGTTTGTGAACCAAACTGAAGAATTTTAGAACCAAGTTGGTTTTAGTTTCATATCAAAATTCAATATTTTTGGTTCAGACGGTCATAGATTTATTTGGAGAAAACCAAATTAAGATTTAATAACAAACAATTTATAACCGTAAAAATCGGTAGAGAAATGTTCTAGTTTGGGGATGTATAACAACAGGTGGTATGGGTAATTTAGTTTTTATTGATGAAATTATGGCTGCTACAATGTATATCAACATATTACAAGGAAATTTAAAAGAGAGTACAACGAAATTGAAAAAACAAGACAATTTTTTCTTCCAGCAAGATAATGACCCTGCACATAAGGCGAAAATTACAAAATAATGGTTGATATATAATGCTCCACATTAATAAAAAACACCACCTCAACCACCGGGTATAAATCTTATTGGGTATTTATGAAATCAACTAGGGTCAGCTAAAAGAAAACACAAAGTTTCTTTAAAAAATGAAATTAAAAAAAGTATTACTAGAAGAATGGCAGAAAAATTTACTTGAAACTATTAAAAAATTCATTACTTCATTAAGGCAGTTCAATACTATTATTAATATGAATGGTATTATGTACTGATGTTATGAAATCAAAACTTACATTTCTGAAAGTATCTTTGATTTTTAGTTCAAATTCTGAAGTGGTAACTAAAAGATCAAAAATTAAATCTTCTTTATAAAGACTCTGATTATAAATTTGATCATAAATTTGTTTGCTTTTCTTGCTGTTTTCTGAAACTAAAATAAAAAAATGTTAGATTTAAAAAACAAAATTATCCAAATTAAAAAATATGTGTACAGCATAATATGTAATTTTGTAAAAAGAACTACAGATTCATCATAATATTATGTTAGTTGAATATCAAAATCATTTAAATTTATTGTAATAAGTAATGCCTGTGAATTAATTTGTCAATCATTATTTTAATTTCATAAGATTTACCATAGAGAAATAGCTTCGTAATTGCATTAGACATTAGTATTTATTGTTAGCATAAACATATAATTAAATAAATTAAAATTAAAATTTGATCAACATTTAGATTTAGATGTCTGGATACTTTAGATGTTTTTTTACTTCAGTTATAATATTTACAGGGTCATACATAGTTAGGAATAAAAACAAAACCCTAAATTGTATATGCTTTTGAATTTTGTGATCTCATTTTTACAGGTGGCATGATAGTTAAAATTTAAAAAATCATAAGATTCTTTCATAACCAAGACAAGCAAACTAACCCGAAGACATGTAGGTTAACCAAGATGTAAGCTGATTGTGTTTTAAAGCAAGTATCAACAATGATGAAACGATAAAGGTTAAAATGTATAGTTTATCAGATATACTTACGTAGATGAACAGTAGATGTGTGCAGTATATACCATCTTAATAAGACATTACAGTTCCGACAGAGATTCATTACAGCGTTGATATTGTCCATTATTTTTTTATCAATATCAGGATAGCAAAGAAATTTTTTTATTTCAGAGGTAATTTTCTAAAAAAATGTATTTATAAGTATTTTTGAAGACTATTAAAATTAATAAAATTACCATATCATATTAATTTTCGGTAAATAAAAAGTCAACATTTTAAGTTAAATTATATTTTTTTGAACTTTTACATAAAAATTCAACATTTCAAACAATTATGTTTTAATGACTACATATTATCCATCTATAATTTGTTGAAACCAAGTTAGGCTCTCATAGATATGATTACATATAAAGGGCTGCAGAGGAAAATTATCATAGTCTCTCATCAATTTTTTTTTTTCATTTAGTTTTTTTTCTTCTAAAATTTAGATTAATAAATTTGATTATTTTGTAATTAAACTTGTCAATAAATATAGTTAAAGAACAATATTATTTTAACTTTGTTATCTTATACAATAATCTCTGAATCTTTTTTTAGTTCTGAAACTTTAATACTGCAATACTGAAAACTTTGGGTATATTGACTACGATAGTTTTCTATTGTTTTATTATTTCTAATCTTAACAGTTTTATCACTTTATTTAAAGCTGAAAAGTAAAAATATTGAAGAAATTGAGCTCTTGTGTTTTCCTTAAGAGGACGCCAAACTATCCAATGGGTTAGGTTAAATTATGATTTATCCGTGAAAATGGTTTTACGTGGGACCAACTTACGGAGTTACTATTCACAGTAGCCTTACCAAATTGTTACCATTTTTTTTTTAGAAGAACTTTAATCTATGTCTTAGAATTTTCATTTGTTTGATAGCTTACACAATCCAATTTATTCATTTTCATTTTCAGTTTAAATTCATTTTTGCTTCATTAAAGAGGAAGCTATGGTTCCCAGGAAATTTATTTTTTACATATCGGGATGTAAGTAAAACCATATTTTAATAAAAAATAGAACAACTTGGCATTCTGCTTATGAATGTATGTGTAAGTGTTTGTTTGTTTGTGATATTATTCCTTTAGACTTCAATAGTGACTATGCATATTAAAATTTTTCCCTAAAATTTTAACGGTATGTAGTTCGGATGTTTATATGAACAAATAGTAATAATAATTATTATTTGTCAAATTGATTTGGCAGCTATTTTTAATTTTTTTTATTTGATTATTAAAAATCTGTGAGTGCTGATATCAAAGTATATTAAGTATACAGCGTAGTAAAATATCAGTTTTAAGTGACAGAATATAAATAATCCATAAAATAAAATAATCCTTCTGTTACTAAGAGTCAAGATAAATAATAAATGAAGGGCTGCGGGGAAAAATATCAATGTCAATTTTTTAATCATATTATTAATTTTAAAATGTAATAAATTTTACCTGTATGCCTAAACTTACAACAGTCGTTACTCTCGACTAATTTGTTTTTTCCCTGGTTCGAGCGCATAAAAGATACAATACATCAATGGAAATCATTTGATACCAAAATCTCATTTTCAAAAAAAATATGACATTGATCTTTTTTCCCTGCAGCCCTTAAAATATTATTGTATAAGCTAAAACCATTTTTTCTAAAAAAAAAAATATATTTTTATAATTACTTGAAGCTCAACTGCACGAGAGTTTGCTAGACGGTTTATTTCCCCTGCTTGAATAGTGTTTGTTACAGCAGTTTTTGCTGCTTTAAATGCTTCCCAAGAGTCTATTATATTAATAGTAACTCCCATATAGACATTGACAATCTAAAAATTGTTAATTATTTTTAATTATTATTGTCTAAAATATTTCAGTTTGGTTAATTAATGGAGTAATGTCACTAGACACCCCTTCAATCATCAACCTACCACGTCTAGTACACTTGTAATAAACTATTTTACTCATTGTGTGAGTGTGTATAAATTTTGTAATAATTTTCTTTTATTAAAATAATTATATTATATTGTTAATTATAAATCTTTAATAATAATTGGTAAATTAATTTTCTATGAAACACAGGTTTTATAAATTATGGTATACTCATAGCAAATAGATGCACTATATTTTTGAGAAAAGTCAAAAGAAATATAAATGTTTTTTAATAAAAAAAAAGCCGAAGTATGAAAAGAAAATTACAACCAGTTTAAAAAAATTTGAATTTTTTATATTTTATATTAAAAGTAATTAGTAATATTTTATTATCTACAAATCTGCATCAAAGTGTTTTTTTTTTCAGTTATACTAAACTTGTTATCTTACCAATCCTAACAAATTCCATCTTCGACTATGCCCTGACAATGTGCAAAATTATTTATTTTTAATTTATTTACCCAGTTATCCGGAAAGTATTTGTCTACAATCTCTCTCATTACAGCAGATTCTTCATGTAATATTTTTGACTTAAAAAATAAGCACACAAATAACATAGCAGCTTGACTCGCAAGTGCAGTACTTCTATGATCTGGGTTTGGATATGAGGATATTTGATTATATATGTCATCAGATCTTAACCTCCCAATGACAATATTAATTAGATTTTTATTAACGGGAACTCTTCTGAAAAACATAACATACACTACTTTTTTTTTTTATAAAAATAAGTCAATATTGGACTCAAAATATATTTACAATACATAGTTATTTATATAGATAGGATGAAGTTACTTGAAATAGTATTCTGGGTAAGATGATGTTGCTTTAACTGAGCCCAGTTTTGTAGAACGCAACAATTTACAAATATCATCAATGGGATTTTCATTGTTATATTGTTGAGCATTATACCGATGATATGCAACTAATAACCGTTCTCTAATTATTCCTTCTATGCAGATATCAATAAGTAACAAAATAACTCCATATAAATATAGAGATTCACACTAAAAAAAAAAAATGAAGTATATTAATTCTTATTATTTGTATAATAAATAATTTATAATACATGGATAATTAATTAACTCTCAGTTATAATGACAAAATTGTATTGTTCCATCTAATAAACTTTAAAATTTAGCTCCTTTTAAATATATATTCTATAAAAAATTGACTATAATTTAATAGAGTTTTAACATCCTCATTGACAAAATGTTCTTTTAAATGCTTAATTTAAAAATATCTCAATTAAGTACCTCACTCAAAAACCTCAATTTTTTAAAAATGAGTAGTTACTCTAGACGATTATATTGATAAGTGAACCTATAGTTTAGCAACAAAAATGTATACAATAATAATAATTAGAAGTAGTGAAAACATGAATACAAAGTAACTGTTGAACAAATAAAACTTAAATAGCTAATTTAAAACATTAGCATGAGTTTAAAAAATGTCTGATATTACATCCTAGAACTCTCAAATTGTTATCCTCTGTATTACAAATACTAAAAACATTAGTATTACAAGCAATATCAGTAAAACTTTGCAAAGTATACCATTTTTAATAAATAATAAAAATTGTATTTTATGTTCTTACCAACAATTGTTTACCTTCGATGGTAAAAGACATAGTTTCAAGTGTATGTTGAATATAAGTTCCTTCTTCTACTTCATCTAAATACTCATTTAAATCACGAATGTATTTGTATACATTTTCAAACAAAAAATAAAACTGGTTGATAATTTCCAAATTGTTTTCCTTAAGTTCATCATTGACATCTTTTAAATTCTATAATTTAATAAAATAAAATAAATATTCAAGTCATCAAAAAAAAACTATTAGAAATAATCATGCTTTAAAAATCTGACCGAACTAGAATCAATTTTCTTTTCTATCTCATTGACATTATTAAAGTACGAAAAATCTAAAATTATTTGTCCATACTTTTGCACATCACTTTTGCTGTTTAATCTGAAATAAAACAAATAATAGTATGAACCCTTTGTGAGTGTGTTAAGGTTTATTAAACCCCACGTGGTATTTGTAGTTAATTAAAAGGTTAGATATCTAGTTAAAGCTAGATGGATTGATATATTACTTTATGATTTTTCAAATATGACCATGTCAATAGTTTTTTCCTGACATTTTAAAAACATTGCAAAGTTCATCTTTAGAGAATTTTTGTGAACAGGTACAAGGGTAAATGACTCAACATTTTAATACTCTAAATTAATTAATTAGAGTCTATGTAATTTCCTCAAACTTTATTTATATTGACTAAGGCTCATAGTAAATATAAAAGTAATAGAGTATCTAAGTATAAATAAATTATAAAAACACAAAAATAGTTAGTATACTTTAGCGTTTTTGCTCAAATGTTTGAAAAAACTGAGAACATGGTAATCATATGGAAAAGTCTAATATATTATATATTAATGAGTAAATAAAAAAGCTGAATTTCTTTAAATTATAAAAATATAATTAAAAATAAACTGGCGTTTTTTGAAAAACATATTACATTAATCATACATTTAGCCAAATAAATTTACCTATAGACAGGAGGAATGTAATCCTTGAGTCGTAAAATTTCAGCAATGATAGCATTGCCTCTTGATACAATCCGAAGTAAAGCTAAACCACATGGATTATTTTCCATACTGATATTATGTTATAAAAAATATAAATTTTTAGTTATTTTATTTTAAATAAAAAGGATTATTATAAAAACAACTTTATTTTATTTTTATTTTTTAACACATAATAGAAGCCTCTTTATAATAATTTATATGATAAAGATAAATAATATGCTTTGGTTATTAATAATTGATGAACAGTACAGAATGTGAAAATGTAAATTTTGTCCGTTCATAAGGTCCAGTTTCATCCGCGGTTATATCTATAGGTACATCACGAATCACGATTAGTAACAAGATCTTATCTTTAATCGTGCTATATAATATTATATAATCGTGTTGACAAGAAACCGCTTCTGCGATATTATCAGGCCCAAACACTGATAACAATTAACACAGAGAAGATACTTATCACACAAAAACTTAAATAGATAAAGGACGTACATTATCTATTGGCTATTAAGTGTAAAGTTACGTTTAAGCATTGATATTTGATTTAGAAGTAACAGTTTTAAGAGTAGAATAATTAAAAACAAAAAAACTGCTGCGTACGAGTTAAATAAAGTACGATTTATTTCTGTTATAATGTATGAAATATTTATTAAACATTTGAACAATACTCTTCGAAATGTCATTAAAACACCTAAAGTGGTAATAAATCTTTCTTCTTCGAAACATAGGAGGTATTTTAGTACAATAAATAATAAAAATAAACATCAGTTTGATGGTCCGGATCTAAAAGATTTCATCTCGAAAGATGCCCCTACTGAGTTACATGAGATAATACATATTAAAGAAAAAGTTCCTTATATTGATATAATCAATTCAGGACAAAATCGCAAAGGTAAAACGATCACAAATATTTATTAAATAGTTGATTAATAAATGAAACCTAATAGTGAATTAATGTTTATGTTTAGTTTATATAGAAGTCTATGGTTGTCAAATGAATGTAAGTGATTCTGAAATTGTTTGGTCTATATTAAAAGAAGATGGGTATATTAAATCAAATAGTATATATGAGGCTGATATAGCTTTACTTGTAACTTGTGCTATTAGAGATAGTGCTGAAAATAAAGTATGGACAAGAATTAAACAAATTCGATCAGTAAAACGCTGGCGAGGTAAATTAGATCCATTGAAAATTGGAATTTTAGGTAACTATACTTCATAATTGCTGTCAAAAAATTATGTTTCATTATTTTATTGGTTTTAGGATGCATGGCAGAAAGGTTAAAAGAAAAATTAGTTGATCAAGTTAAAGGAGGTGTTGATCTAGTTGCTGGTCCAGATAGTTATAGAGATTTACCTAGGCTTTTAGCCAAAACACATGTGGGTCAGAAAGCTGTCAATGTTTTATTATCTGTTGATGAAACATATGCTGAAATCAAACCGGTTAAATTGAATGACGATAATGTTACTGCATATGTGTATGTTATTATTAATATATTTTTATTATACTCGTACATCACAATAACTATCATCATTATGTAGTATAATATATAACTATTGAATTTTAAGGAGTTAATAGTTTTTATATTTTATTTGTATTGTAAATTTAAAATTATCTTGTGTATTTGTATATTAAATAGTATGCTGTCTTTTGGCAACCTACACGATGGGCAGCTCACTTTGAATAAAAGTTGTTTCTTTCTTATACAAATAGTTTAAACTTTTAAATTACTTTGTATTGAGAAACAAGCTACAGTCTAAATAAAAAAGGACTGGTTTATTTCACAGTTCAATTTCTTTAAGAATTTGTATTTATAAACAATATTTTTGTTGTACAGTATTATTTTGTATATATTGTATTAAGTATTGGTACGTTTTTTAAGCTATCAATTATTATGATGTTGGAAATTAATCTATGTTCAAATATATTTTTCCCTAGGTCAATAATGCGAGGTTGTAATAACATGTGCACTTACTGCATTGTACCTTTTACTAGAGGTCGAGAACGTTCTAGGTCTGTAGAATCTATAATAAATGAAATCAAGTATTTATCAGATAAAGGTTTTAAAGAAGTTACATTATTAGGTAAGCTCATAAAAAACAACCAATACAAGAGTATATATATTTTATAAGATTTGCTACATTTGAGATATTAATTTTGCAATGATGTGTTTTTTTTCCTGTTGTTAGGTCAAAATGTGAATAGCTACTGTGATTTAAGTACTTCTTCACATTTTATTCCATCTATTGCCACTTTATCATCAGGTTTTAAAACAGTTTATAAACCTAAAAAAGGTGGTGTTCGTTTTGCTGAACTTTTAAAAAGAGTAGCTGAAGTTGATCCAGAAATGAGAATAAGATTTACATCACCTCATCCAAAAGATTTTCCTGATGAGGTTATAATTTTTTTTTTTTTTCAAAGTAAAAAATTAAGTACAATTTTAATGAATATATTATTATTTTTAGGTGTTAACTGTAATTTCAGAAAAAAATAACATTTGTAAAAATTTACATTTACCAGCCCAAAGTGGAAATTCAGACATTTTGGAACGTATGAGAAGAGGATATACACGAGAATCTTACTTGAACTTAGCTCAACATATTAGGAGTTGTATACCTGATGTAACATTTTCTAGTGATTTTATAGCTGGCTTTTGTGGGGAAAGCAATGAACAATTCAATGATACCATAAGTTTAATGGAAACTGTGAAATACCATAATGCATTTTTATTTGCTTATAGTATGAGAGAAGTATGATACTAACCCATATTTATTAATACTTAATTAAATCACGTTTTTCTGTAGAAAACAAAAGCATTTCATCATTACAAAGATGACGTACCACAAGATGAGAAAATTGAAAGAGTAAAAACCATGTTCAGTGTGTTTAGAAAACAAGCTACAATTTTAAATGCAATGTTTGTTGAGACAGAGCAACTCATATTAGTTGAAGGTGTAAGTAGATACTAAAGTTAATTACGAAAAATGTGCAATAATAAAATAACATTTGGTTCTTATCAGTTAACAGAACTACTGTAAACAAATTGTATTGCATTAAAATATTGTACAACTTAAGAGTTAACGCGTATTAAATTATTAAATGTCAGAACTATAATAATATATTTATCTGAAAAAACAAAGGGAGGATGGTATTCGTGATTGCTTAATATTCTAATCGTGCATTATTCAAAAAAACATTATCCAAGTAATTATTTTGGTAATACATTATACTAGAGAAAATTATTCAACTTACAACTAAAATCTTTCAAATAGATTATTAAATAATTTTTTTTTTTAAACGTTATTTTGTATGAATAAAATATATAATACTCATAAAATTAAAACTAATACTTTTTTTCTTCGTAATTTTTATCTTAAATAAAAAGCAAGAGTTAAATGTAGTGTATGTATATACAGGGTGATCATTTTCTTAGAAAATAACTACTATTTTGAAGTTTTCTTTTTGAAAACATTTGTCTTAATGTTATTTTATGAAATTATAATATTAATAATTTTTTACCTTTTTAGTGTTTTTCAGGGCTTTATCAACTTTTAAAATTTAAAAAGGAACATATATACTTCATTATCTTTTTAAATTATATTAAATTTACTGAACATTTTGACTGGTTGATAACCAGTTTTGAAAAATTACTTTTGAAGTTTAAAATTTAGAACAGAAATAAGGGTGGATTATAGTATTATTTTTATCTGCTCGCATTACTCTACCTCACTCCACCCCCATCCTAAATTTTAAATTTTAAAAGTAATTATCTAAAACTAGTTATCGACTAGTCAAAATGTTCAGTAAATTATTTCTAAGCAGTTAATTCAACCATTGTTATTTAAGTTCTAAAAGTTGATAGAGCTCTGGGAAAAAATAAAAAAAGATAAAAACTTGAATGTTGTCTAATATTGTTTTTTTTTTTTTTTTTTAATAGCCTTTATGTCTAATATTGTTAAATAACGAACACTAAAAATTCTCTAAAAATAAAACTACAAAATATATGAATGATTAACTACTTAAATAATTAGTTTAACCTAATCTACCTATCTAACCAGTAACCTACCTCACCAGTAGTTGAGGTCTTTTATTGGTAGTCTTGTTAAGCAATATTTTGGCAATTATAATTTTTACCAAATTGGAACCAAGCTAGCTCAATTGAACTTGTTTTTTAGTACTTAAATTAATAACATAAGCAATTATAATAAGAAATGTATCAAACATTATTTTAGGAAAGTCGAAAAGACCCTACTAAGCTTTGTGGGCGAACTGATGGTAACATTAGAGTTATAATTCCAAATATCAAGTTGCCAAATACCGAAAAATCAATAAATCAAACTATCAAACCTGGTGATTATGTATTAGTAAAGGTATGTATTTTTTACATTCATAAATAAGTCATGGTAATTATCACTATTAATAAATAAAATTGAGTTTTTTAGCTTTGAGGTGAAGTTTGTAAGAAAGTATTGGTTTTTTTTATGATTTGATAAAGGATTAAAGTAGTTTGTGTTATCTATATTTTATTTATCTACACTCAATTGAGGGTAAAATTATTTTGTATTTTCTAATTTGGTTAAATAGTCGTTGCTTAAAGCCAATCTAATCTTATTCTGCATAGAATATAATGTTGTATGTTTACAATTATGGACTACAATGAAAACAAAAACTGTTTTTTATAATCTATAATTAAACTATTAAATAATCGTGTTAAAAGTACATAAATTATTTTCAGATAACAGAATCAAATTCGCAAATTTTAAAAGGTACTCCTTTAAAAATTACAAGCCTTCAAAAGTGCTCAACTGCTTTTGTTGAAAACAACGTTTAGAATGTATTCTTATAATGTTGTGTTACTTAGTTACTAATTTTTAAATTGTTCTTAGTATTTTTAAATAATACATTATAATTTTTAAAAAAATGTTTGTTTTTTGAAAGATAAAAATGGCGTATATTTATGCCTTTTTTTATTCATGGATGAAAAACTATAGCTGAAAACGATTCACATGTATTTAATAAACAAAACAAAAATAATTATGAACATTGTAAATGAAAGGTGACTAAATTATATTAAATTTATAGAAATAACTACGAATATATTACATATTGGTGTAAAATAATATATAAAAGCATTTTGTGTTTTTATATTATGTTCAATGTTAGTGATTTCATTAAGTGTCAAAATCTTTATTAATTATTTCAATAATAAAAATAAGAAGTACTTATAGAGTAATATATAGAGACGAGGTGTCCTATCTCGGCAGTGTAACTGATTTGAAGCCAAACCGTCAGTCATGGACCCAGATCTAAAGTAGTTTTAGTACTAAGACTATCACTGTAGATTGATAAAATATATATATATTCACTGTATACTGCTCTGCGCCATTTTGCGCTTCAACGAAGTAATCAAACGTCGTCTTTATATTACTCTATGGAAGTTCTATGCAATTGCAGCTGTTAAGTCGATAAGACTGGTATCTAACGAAACATATTTGATAATGTCTTATCTTGTTTTTGCCAAGCAATCGGAACAAGGTTTTGTTGGTTATGAACGATTGTATGGATTTATTTTAGAATAATTTTTTCTTTATTTTTGTTAACTACGAGATCATCAAATAAGTAATAACAGGTCTTAACAGTAATTATTATTAATAACTAATAAGTATAATGTGAATAATCAGTGATCTTCTCCCTAACCGCTATTTATTGTTATTAATTTACAAGTTCATTTATGTATTTGATTAAACTTAATTGGTAGTATGAAGAGAAGGAATGGCGATTGTGGAAAAAATCGAAAGGCATTAAAAAGAAACAAATCCGCTGCCGAAGGAATATACTGGAGGTATTGTTTAGTGTTGTAAAACTGATCATTAAATTAAAAATATTGATGTATACATTGTTACTTTCAGTTCTGTTCATTATCTTAAACTTTTCGGCATTTGGTTTGCTCTTATACTACTTGATTATTTACTGCACTTTCGATTTGAGTACGTTTGGCCATTTTGGCTTTTATTTCATAAAATTTTAGAAGGATTTAAGCATCAAGGTTTTGTAAGTATATTTAAATTTTTTTAATTAAATGCAATTGATTAACAAAATTCCCATCATATTATATACAAAATCTGTGATAGAATGACAGAAGCTGACAATTATGCTACTTTTTCCAACTTTCAGGAAAATTAAATTAAAGTTTTTCGTCAAATATATTCTTAAGTAATAGTTTCTACATTAGAAATCACAGCTTAATAGTAAAAGCATACAGTGATACAATATTTTGCCAAATTGAATACTTATTTTAAAACATTAACATAATTATTAAAAATCTGTCAAAAAGTGACATGCTTCTGCCATTTTACCACTCATCTTGTTTTTTAGTGATTATTTATTAACCAAAAAACTTAAGCATCATAGTTTTTACTTTTGTCATAACAAAACCAACTAAATCTAACCATTTTTTTTTTTGTATATTTCTTTATAGTATAAATTTTAGTGTGTACTTATGTTTTTAATTAAAAGTGTTAACTACCAGATAAAAAAATACATGTGTATACTATATATTCTTAATTAATTCTATATAGTAATTGTCCTTTTGGAATTTAGTTGTTATATTTCTTCCATTTTGTTATGATCAAATCACACTTTATTTTTAAAAAAAAGTTATTCCATAGATAAGACTCACTTAAAAATTTATAATTAATTCTTGTATCCATGACTTATAAAGGAAAAGTATGATGAACTCTAACAAGTAATGTGTTCTAGCCACCCAATGTCAATATTATTTAGATGGATCTTTGACATTGGTTGTTGAAACATTTTACCTACTAGTATGATCCTACAGAGTAATTCAAACGAGTAGTTTTAGAAGCCAGTTAGTGGTAGTAATAGTTGTTACTAGTTATTAAAAAGAGGCTCATGCTTATTTTTACAAAACTCCTAACCGTTAGGATTAAAGTATAATTAACTTAAAAAAAAAAAACATTAAATAGTAAAAAAGTTATATTAATATTGTTTTTTTTATATTTTAATACATTAAAAGGAATGAATAAAATGTTTTGTTTTTATGAATTTTACTAGAATACAGTAAAAAAAATTCCTCTAGTTATATACTACATTTAGCATACTGCTAGACTTGGAATATCTAGAACATGTTTTATATCATTGATAGGTAGGATAGAATAGGTTTGATGATAACACTTAAAACATCTAATACATTTTACTAGTTAACTCCTAGCCAAATAATCTGTTTCAAGTTTAATCAAATTAATATTTATAAATAATGTTTTAGGTGTATACTGTATTCTTTGTTTGCATTGCATTGACTTCTGATATGGTTTGCTTTTTCTTTATACCTGTACATTGGTTATTATTTGCTGCAAGTACATATTTTTGGGTACAATATATTTATCAAGCAGGTTAGTTATTTAATTTCTGATTTTTAACCTTATATAAATTATACTATTTAATACAAAATTTTTTTTTAGAAAAATGTGTTTCGTGGCCAGCTGTTGCCTTACTAGTTTTATACATTTATGTAGAAACTAGCGTTCGGTTTAACAATTCTGACCACATACCTTACAAATTGGTATTTTGTAAACCGTTAGCAGCTAATTGGTAAAGTTGAAATATATTCCTCGACCATTTATATATTTATACTTTTTTTATTTTTTTATTAAAGCATTGGATATCCAGTTATAACGCTCTGTTTTGGTTTCAAGAGTTATTTAAGTAAAAAATTGCAACAGGTTAGTAGTAGTTTGTTATGTTCACTTAAAAACTTCAAGAGTATGAACTATCATAAAGTGTTCTTCTGGTTCATGCTGATGGATAATTTAAAGATAATTTATTTATTTAATATATATATATATATTAAGGGTGGTCCTTATTTAGGGTCTGGTCAAATTTTTGGTTTGCCGCCCCAGCAATTGGTTTGAAATCACAAACATTTTTGTGATAGAATTTTTCATATTTTTATCTATCTTAATTTTATTCTTTAATTGCCTTTCAAAGCATTTTGTTTTTTGTGTTCAGAAAAGAATGAAAATCTGAAAAAATTATGGAATTAGTTTTTACATGATTTCGAACCAATTGCAGAGGTGGCTGTTCATAATTGTAACCCGCCCAACCCTAATATATGTACACTATATACTAACTTTTGCTTTTCATTTAAGATAAAATACCAAAAACAATTGCAAATTTCTGTTTTACAGTATCTAATTTCTAAATGTTATTTTGGAGCTAATGAATTTTTACCATTTTAATTATAACTACTAAAATATTGTCTTCCAGAAACAGCAGCAAAGGGTATCAAAAGAAAATGAGTTCTATCAGAACTTACTATTAGACGCTTTGCCATCTGATCAAATCACAGGTTCCGTCATATCTAGTCAAGACAACAACGATGGAGGTATTTATTGTGCCTTCTTTTATTATTATGTTATTATCGTTTTTATATTTTTTTGTAATTTTCTTAGAAATGTGGTTGGAATCAATTAGTGAAGTGCCAGCCAATGACAACGATGTACATAATAATAAAGTGATATCTAATGGTAGTGTTCCACATAAAAAACCTGAAAAACAAGATACATGTCCTGATGTATCCAATAAAAAATTAGTATCTAATGATAAATTTGTGTAAGTTAATAATGTACTTAAATGTATGTAAATGTTATAAAAGTTGTATAATAATTATTTATTATATATGTCCTGAGGAGGACAAGTGGCCGAGTGGGTAATGCGTTTAGCACACACTATCACCGGTTTGACACTCGGTTACATGTGCCCTGTTTTCCAGGCGAGAAATCGTCTGGTGAAAAGGAGTTGCCATCCTCTTCAGTGACAAACTGACGACCTGTCCCAGACAGTGAATTCGTCTAGAAACCATCATCTCATGATGGTAGTGTTGGGCCTTAACGCCTGTTAAGCTGATGATATATATATATATATATATATATATATATATATATATATATATATATATATATAAGTTATTCTCTCCAGAACAAATTTAATCTATTCAATTCTGGTAAAACATTTGATTTCAGAAGAAAAAAACATTTTTTTAATTAACAAGTATAAATTTTGCTCAGAACTTTATCCAGACGCTTAGTTGTAGGGATAACACAATCTAATAACAAGAACATCACCATATAAATAGTGTTCACATGTACATATATTGATAATATTTTATTTTATAGATAATAAATAATAATTTAGTGAATTTAAATTATTAACATTACAGTTGTAATAATCAAGAAAATAATGTAAGTAAAGAATTGGAAAAAAATAAAAGGGTGACTAGAATATCATCATCAAAAAACAATAATCATTTAAAGTGTACCAATCAAAACTCAAGTACAAAAGAAAACTTAAAAACTAAAGGCACTTCACCACCAAGACTGGAAAAACCTTCTATAATAGTTGATCCTAAGGATATTTATTCTGAAACGTAATCAGTTTATTTAATAAGCATGTGTTATCATATATAAATACGAATAATATTATTAAAAAAATATTTGTTTTTGAAGATTGCAAAACGAAATAAAGAGGCTTAAATGTGAGCTTCATACGAATAGTCAAACAGAAAAAGACTTAAGAAATCAACTAAATGCAGCTCTAAGTGAAAATTCTAGTATTTCAAATGATTCAATAAGGCTGAAACAAGAACGTGATGAAACCAAATCTAAGTAAATCAGTTTAATTAAAAATTACTTTAATAATGGTGCCATTATCATTACACTATTGTTCTTTAGTGAAAAAATTGTTTTGCAAAAATTTACAATTTTGACTAACCTTGACAAAAGCCCCATACGCTGTTTTTTATTTTATCGGCATTTGCCACATAAAGACCATTTTAATGAAAAAATGGTTTATTCATTATTAGTGTAAAATTATTACAAAAAACAATAGTGTAGTTGCCATACAAATAGGAAAGATCATGTCATACGTACATAAAACATGTAACATGCAACACTGTACAAGGAGATTTTGTACTCATATTCAAAAAAATAAATATACAGTATAGAATTGTTTACCCTAAATCTTTCTAGTCCCTAATTTTGCATTTCATGACATGCACTTGCCTCTAGTTTTCCTATAAAGTTGTAAACATTTTAAAATATTGAAACCAATTATTTTATTATAAAATTTTAAAGAAGTTATTCTAAAACAAATATTTTGTTTTCATATAAAAGTTGTTTAGGACATAAATAAGAACAATTATTTGTTTAAACTTAAAATTAAGTATGTGTAATCTCCCATAATTGAAATTAGAATTTTCATAATTTTTTTTGTGTTTATATAAATACTAAAAATTAATAATTAAGCTGGGAAAAACCGAAAACAGTCAAATGAAACATATTCTTTTATTTTGAGATTTGATGATTTAAAACAAAACTAGACTTAAAAACTAAATTTGGAGTTAAGACAATTTCTTAAAGTAACAATATTTCGGTTTCATTATTAATCAAATTTTCAATTCTTTGTGCCGTGTGGTAGTTTTTAACCTGTTATTAGTCGCTCTATGGTGAAAACAACCGCAGTCACATTTATCCACAGGTGAAAAATGTACTTGGGTCATACACTATTTAAATGTGATTAAAAATTGCGCAACTCACGAAAAAATTATTTTGTTATTAAATATTTATAATTTATACAATGAATTATATTTTATGTATATTTTTTTTTTTATGAAGACTTTTGAATTTATTATTGACTCATCAAAATGACAAGCAAATAATATCTCAGCTTGAAAAACGTTTATCTGATGAAAAACGACAACGTTTATCATGTGAGTCACAACTGATTTCTGAAAGGCGACAACTCAAAAAAATAGAAGAGCTGGCTGCTTCAAGATTAGTAGCTTTAACTTCTAAGTAAAATATTTTAAAATATTATAAAATCAATTTAATTATTTAAAATAAAATTGTATTTTATAGGCCAGAGTGTACAGAGAGTTGCAAAATCAAACGTAAAGAGCTTGAAAATGAAACTAAAGTTTTACGTAAAGAACTAAGGTTAAAGGACGAGCAATTTATGGCAGTTCAAAAAGAAGTTAATGTAAGCTTAACATAAACATGTTTTATAGTAACAATTAAAATTGACATAAATATTCAAACAAATTTTCTTTTGTTAGGAGCTTCAACCATATAAACAAAGTCAAGATAAAATTGATTTTGTTATGTCTGCGTTATCGACATTAAAAGACAAAAATGCTCACCTTGAACATAGTTTGAGTGCAGAAACTCGTATTAAGCTTGATCTTTTTTCAGCATTGGGCGAAGCTAAAAGACAGCTGGAGCTAAAAATAAGTACTATTTAAAATTAATTTTAAATTGTTGATAGTGTATTATATGAGTTTTTTTTATGCAATTTAGATATAATATCATCTCAAGAAAAAGAAATTGAAGAGCTTAAATCCAAAATATCTCAGACATTGGCTATGATGCAACCAAATGGTACTTACATGGTGAACTCTGTCGGAAGTTCTCCTACAATGAGGTTTGGTGGTAGTAGTTCGCCCCAATCCAGTCTTGATCCAAATGCCACCATTTATACACCTAAGAAAAATCCACATTTAGTAACCGAAGCTTAAGCATACTTTTAAAGTAAGTGTAATTTGAAAAATAAATTTTACACTTTTAATGATTTTACATTTTAGCTTTTGGAAGCTAAGAAGAGAATTAATTTGTTTTAATTGAAAAATATATAAATAATACTTTTGCAATGTTAAAAACATTGATGGCTAAAATATTTTTTTATTAGACTATGATATAATTCACCACAACTGCAAATTATTAGTGTACTCTTTTGACAATTTATTGCAAAATAGTATGGCTTCCTATATTTTTCAAACTCGTTTTCAGTCAAATTTTGCAAAATTGTGTTGTAATACTGAAATAGCTTTTTCAACCATAATCGTTATGTTCTTCATTTTATACATAACAAGTAGTATTGAGCAGATTAAAAATACGCCCCACATCTTGCACTCTGTTGTAGTCACTTCCATAGCCTTCATTAATTTACTTCTCTTATATTCTTAAATATTTATTTTCTAGAGGTCTAGATAAATTATTAGAATTTGTATGTTTGTTATACGGTTCATTTAAACATATATAAATTTAGAATATTATTCATAAGTAAAAATAAAAATGCACATATATTTGTCAACACATTGTACTTATGGAGAAAATCAACTTAAGTTAACAGTTTTAAAATGGGTAAAAAATATGCTTATTACGCAAAATGGTACATTGCCGCCCTTGAGCCATTACTATGAATAACCAACCATTTGTTGATTTCAGAGTCAAATTATGACACGCATTGACAAAAATGGCAATATAATGTTTACTTTTATTTTCACTTGTAAAACAACCACAATATTATAGTATTGAAAAAATATATTTAAGTTATTATGTTAACTCATGAAGTATAATTTAGTTTCTTAACTATAATTATTTAATAAAATAATATTTAAAACACCATAAAATAATACACTCTCCGCGTATATGTATTTTGGTAACAATGTTGTCATCTTCAGCTAACGACAAGCTGAGACAAATACGTATACACGGAGAGTGCATTATTTATGGTTAAGGGTATTTTAAATATTATTTTATTATAAATAACCATAAGTTGCTGAAGTTTTTTCTAGATTATAATTAATAAATAAGTAATGTCTCCACATTATGTTTTAGTGTTAACAAACAAAATCGCAGCGTTCTTCAAAAATTGACGACGAAATGCAGTTTCTTCTTTTTTTTTTAATGAATAGTAAATACTATTATACATTAATTTAGATACCTCAATATAATATAAGATAAAAAAATGTATTATGTAGTTATAATAGGATTACTTTGTTAAAATTTGTATTTTTTTTTTAATTCACGAATATCGTACAAACAAGTAGACGAGCTTGATTATATGTGAATTTCCCTTTTCTGTAACAGTATCAATATTATATTGGTTTTGACTTTTTACATTAGTCTTAACTTCAGATATTGTTATTAATTATCTCTATTTATTTTCTTCCTTTGTATTTGACCAATGAGGTGATTACCTCAACTTGTTTAAATTAATCATATTTATTTATTTATTTTTTTTTTTTTTTAAATTAGATTTTTCAATTATTTTCTCATGTCATATGCATTTTTGTAATAGACGCACAATTTAATTTCTTTAAAAATTAAAATGAACAAATTAATATTAAGACTATGTTAAGTTCAATATTTTTTTAACCATTTTAAAGATTGTGTACATTCTTTTTTTTTGTTCCTAAACCAGAGAAAATCAAAAGGTTTTTATATATTTATATTACAATATAATATGCATAAAATTAACCTATATGATTTTTTCTCTTTGTTAACATTTATAATTATGAAGAAGAAATTGTGATAATTTTTAGTTTATCTTAGCCCCTGCAAAATTGTATTGTATACTTTTTTTAAATACTTAAGACTTTAACTCTTCATTGATCAAAATAATTCAATTTTTCGCATGCGTACTTAAATAATTTATTGTTTTGTTTTGTTTTTTTTTTAACTTCTGGTTTGTATAAGAAATGTAGTACAATTACATACATTATTACAATGTACTGAATATTTTGTTGTTAAAATAGTAGTACGTTTTCAAGGTATTCTGTTATTAATTTATTCTAAATGAAATAGTTATTCTTCACATTATGTCTTACAAATTACAAATGGAGTCGGTCAGTCAAATCAACTTTCAATTATCCTGCGTGCAAGTAAAATTTACTTAACCCTTCCATGATCAGATTTATTTAAACGCCATTAGGAACTAATCGATTTTAAAACATATATAAGCGGTGTTACCACAGAACAGATGTAAGCATACACTTCGATGTAAACAAAAAAGTGATTATCATTTTGTAACGAGCTATTTAGTATTTTATGTTATATTTTCCAAGTTCAAAAATAGCGTACCGCGATGGAGGTTAAGATTTTATTGTAGTAGATTATAACCACATAATAAATTAAATCAGAATGGAAACATTGATAATTTAACATGGCAAATATAGGACGCAATAATATCTATGACATTGGGACGTTTCCTTAGTGGTTGTTCTTTTATTATTATATCTATATCTAATATATAAATATAGTTATATCGGAACACGCAGAACATGGCTGTTGTTTTTGGTTTACACAATAGCTTTCCATTCTGATTTCATTTATTCTGTGATATCACTACAAATAATAATGTATAGTCTTAAAAAGATGGCCGACCCGTTTTTGTAAGATAAGTATCTTCCCCGTGCACACGGTTATAGATAAACAGGTTACTCGACGGTGTATGTTTTCGACTGGCTTATAGCGGTCACGCCGCGTTACGCTGTCTACAGAGCGCGCCACCGGGATGCAGGCCATCAAAAGTTATATTTCCTATCTAACGTGTACTAAAAAGCTGTTTTTAAACCAATAAAGATAGTATAATAATACAAGTCTATAAGAATAATATAATACATGAATTTTTTTGTCCGAAAAACGATATTATGATTATAATATTTATAAAATGGAAAAATAAAATATATGATATAATGGTATAAATACTCAGGTTTAACCCCGTTACAGCTTTTGGTAACCAATACATTTTTTTATATTTGCAAGTAAACTGGCTTTTCTATAATTACGATTATTGATAAACTATCTAGTTAAATGTTTTTCAACATTATTATACTTCTACATATTAATTATATATAGTTAACACTTAATATTGTGTTCTTAGTAGCTGTCCTTTCCATGTGAAGACCACAAAAATGAAATCATAATTCGAATTGTAACCGACTATATTGTAATGAGAATGAGGCATTACGTGTAATTTTATGAAATACATTTTATTTTAATTAATCCGAATTATTTTTTCAGATGAGATATTTACAAAAATTATTTTTAAAAAAAAGGAGTATATTATGAAAGGTTTATGAATAATGTGGTATTTATTAGCCATTTACATATTTTTTTAATCGGTATTTTCTTAACCGAAATAACTATGCGTAACAGCAATATTATGACTACACCATCTCTTTAAGGGCAAAAAAATACATCAAATTCATGTATTATATTGTTCTTGTAGACTTGTATAATACTTTCTTTATTGGTTTAAAAAACAGCTTTTTAGTACACGTTAGATAGGAAATATAACTTTTGATGGCCTGCAGTCCCAGTGGCGCGCTCTATTGACAGCGTAACGCGGCGTGACCGCGATTGTCGGCTGCGATGCGTAACTTGTTTATCTATAACCGTGCCGTGCATCGATATAAAGAATACAAGTATTGAATACGTGTATTCTTTATCTCGATGTCCTCCGTGTTAATTGTTATCAATGTCCGGGGCCTAGTGTTATCAGGACATGTCTTACGTGCAGAAAGGAAAAGTTAAATAGAATAACTTCATGGGTGATGGGTACCTGATAAGAAGAGACCTTTGGGACGACCGAGACAACGATGGCGTGTACATCAGGACTTGCGTTTGATAGGAATAGAGAACTCGGGAGAGATGGCAAAACAAATATATCGATATCAGTACTGTTAACCAATATTATTCTGTAGCTGTAAATATCAAAATATATCGATATTTTTTTATATTGATATATCCTATCAGCATTTGTGATAACACAACCGCATTCAGAATTCAGAAAACGGATTCAGCCTTTCACACATTTATAATAATTAATAAGAATAATTTGTATTAGTTTAATTTTTATTATCAATGCTTTCACATTACTATTTTATTTTATTTTTTATCTAGGAAAAATAATTACAATGTTAAGGTACCGTCATTTGACTTCACACTTTTTAAAATCAAGTTTAACACAATTGAGGATACATCCCAAAAAATTAAGTAGACCTTTCAGTCAACAAAATCAATCAACTCCTAAACATGGAGCATTTGCAAATTTTTACGAGAAAACCAAAAAACCACAAAACATAAACGAAGAAAAAGATGAAGATTTTGAAACCTTGCTCAGGAATTCAAATTTTATAAACGTAAATTTATTAACATAAAGTTAATTATTAATTTAATGTATTAAAAATATTTAATTACACTTTGCTTTCTAGATGGGTGATCCTGAAGGAAAAATTTTAGTTGGTCATGTATTCCATATTGTAAATAATGACTTATACATTGACTTTGGATGGAAGTTCCATTGTGTTTGTCCAAAACCTATTAAAAATTCTAAGTAAGTAGAAAGTATATGATAAAAACCAATGAGAAAGTACTGTTGCCATCAATCTTAAGCTATGGTATGAAACTAAACTGTGTATTTTTTGTCTTTATTAGTGATAACGTTTTTTATTGCTATAATGATTTTATTGTATTTATGGTCAATATATAAAACACCTCCAGAGGTACTTTATAAAGCTCTATATTGAAGATAACTCGCTCTTCCTTATAGTTAAACTTTTCCAGAGGAATATCTGAAAACTCTTCGGCAGACCACAATCAAACTGTCCTCCAACAGCTGACAATATCATAAACCATAAAACTTAAATAATTTAAAGCATTTTAAATAAAGACAGGTGAACTCACCAAAAAATAAATACTCTCTATAGATGGTAGAAATATTAAATAATGATAAAATCATTGTTAAGATGATAATGTACTTTAATAATAATAGTTTATTTCCGTTGTTATTCATACATTGTAATTAACAATACTATGAAAATATTTTCGATTACATATTGACTGTTGATTCACTCACACTTAGCAACCTAGAAATTTAATACAGTGTAATTTTCCTTAATAAAAAAAAAGTTTCTATAGAGATGTTTTAAAGGTCACTCTAAATCTACCTTCAGTCTTAAAACTGTGCTAAAAAAAAAAGTTTTCACACCTTTCCACCCCTAGTTTTAAGGGGAAAATGTATTTTGGTTGTTTCCTATAATTTGAAGGGGTTGAGCTTCTATATGTTTGGCCTATTAAAGTACCTTTTAGCTTTAGGTACAATTTTTGATCTATAGACCTGTGACATGAAGAAATCCATTTGTGCAGTTTGTAAGATAACATCATCGGGGTCCAGATACAAAAAAAATTATATTCATAATGAAAAGAAACTTCTTTGTTAAAATATTACCATCCCAGCTACTCATTGAAGTTAACTTAATAACACATTGTAGTGATGGTTTTTGGCTTGACCTATTAAAAATTATAATATTGTTCAATTATATGACGTGAAAAATAGGATAATTTGTGGAGGGGAATATCAGGTGTTTTGTGTAACAGGAGGATGCCTATAAGATTGAAAGGTAGATTTTATAAGATGGTAGTGAGGCCAGCAATGCTATGTGGGTTGGAATGTTGAGCAGTAGACAAGGAGCATACAGGACCTACACTATACTGACTACTAGAGGTCTGTCCGGTCCTAATAAAATGGACAGACCTAGACAGGATTAAAAATATTTTAAGAAATCCGGGCTAGAACAAACCAAACCGGACCGGGCTAAGATAGCAGTTTTTTTTAACCGATAACGCGATAAGTGATAACGATGATATTATAATCGATACTTAGGTGTGTTATGTATACCGTGTACGACAGTTTGTTTTTAGTTTTTATCTGGCGTTATCGTTAGTCAATCAAATTAACAGTCTGTCAATACCATATGCATCATTTGTTACACTTTTACATCATATTTTGACACCCAAACATGTCAGCAGTAAGACAAAAAAAGTAATTATATAAGTCATATTAAATTAACTTTTATTAATAGTATCGGATCATTGCCATTTTTTTACTAGACCAGACCTCACCCGAATAATTCTTTTAAATTTGACCGGACCAAATAATTAACCTAACCGGATCAATTATTAAAACTGTAGCTAGTGACCAGACCGGACTAACCCAGAAACAGTCCAGGCTTTTGCGGTTAGGTTTGGGTTAGCCCGGGACCGGACTGATCTCTACTGACTACATTCAATTTTTTTATTACAGTGAGTATGTAAGAGGAACACAAGTCAAGCTAAAAATCAAGTCTTTAGAACTAGCAACACGGTTTTTGGGTTCAGAAAAAGATATGACTCTACTTGAAGCTGATGCTACACTACTTGGTCTTTATAAACCATATAAAAATTTACAATCTAATGTTTAAGTATATTGTATTAGTTGTATTTTCAAAGACTGTAGTTGTTTATAAAACTAGCATAAAATGAAGATATTAATTTATTTGGTTTTCTTTTTAAATTAAAAAAAATTAAGATTTTCTTAAAGATAACCAATTATGTAATTATTAATTTTTTCCCCGATTAATTTAATATTATTATATATTATAAGATATTTAAATGTTTAATTAAGCATCGACTAGTATGTCAAAAATTGTTTATTGCAGTCTGTAAATTATACACTTTAAAACCACAGACTAAATGAAATATAGTTATATTATAGTCTGTGTGGGTGGAACGAGCACAGTTATATACACCTATGTTTATTTAGGTATATATTTATATCTGCGAAAATCTTAATAGGTATTTATAGTTTATACAATGAAGTAGTTTTGTGGATGAGCAACATGAGTGATATTATTTAAAATTGTGATGATCAGCATATAAGATACGTTCCTTATAAATTTATATTTAATATTGTAACAATGTACCATGATCCATTGTGTTTGGCCATTAGGACAAAAAAAAACTTTTAGTGTACTCGAAGATCTTATACACACTTGGGAAGAAAATTTAAGTGTAAATTTAAAAAGTAATGCAGTTTTGCAAATTACATTTTTAATCTGAGGATATAATAATACAATGTATCAGAACAAGGTTTTAACAGGGGTAATACCTAAAAAAAAACTTGCATTATAGTGCGGTTTAATCTAATCGTTTAGTTATGTCTCCAACAAAAAAAAGATAAAGATAACCAGTACTCTCTGCCCTCGCGGGTGTTAAAAATGAAAAATCTATCAAATAAGTAAAATAAAATATTATCTATTAGATTGTGAATTATAATATTGGGTATAATCATTGCTATTTATCTAAGGAATTGACCAATGACTTAAATTAGTAAAATTATTTGAACTAGTTTTAGCAAAAATTAAATTAATTAAAATGGCAATAGGAAGGTTTGTGGATTTAATTGACTATTAGTGGTTACTCTTGTCAAAATATTTATGTAAATATGTTTGTTTTCAGAAACTTAGTTCCTTTTTTTCACTTCACTGGTTACATGTAGAAAAAACAACTTGCTTTTACTAGATAAAATTTAATTTCTATTATTTTCAAAACATTCAGTTTTCTTTTTAAGTATAATTTATGTAACTATATAATAAAATAACAAGAATTAAAAACATTTTATTAACATTTGGAATCTACTAAACACAATTTAAGATTATTATCTTAAATCGTGTAGCTTCTAACTTCTAAGCGCGGTTAATTGTCATAAAGAATGTTGGTATCAACCAAAAAAAAAAAGAGCTGAATATCCTTAAAAGTGGTCATACTGGTTATGCGATTTGTCTACCAGAAGCGCTAGGAGTAGTTTTCTCATACCACAGATATTATATATCACAACATTAGTTGTAATATAATTGTGGCTGTATTGCAGCGAATGCAGGCAAAAGGTTGCCCGGCCGGTCTCCGAAGACGTTGGTTGGTAGTTGTCGTGTGCGTATTTATATGTGCGCTTTGGGCATAGATATATAAATAATAAACTAGATTGCTAACTGTACATGCCACCAATAGAGAAGATTGAAGCAGCCACTTACCACCATCTTGGTGGGAATTAGAACCTTATCACGCGAGAATTATGTATGTTTAAAAGGCAAGCTGCCATAGGTTCCCAGAGTCATAGGTTCCCAAGCCATCTTATAGTATATTTTTTCTTATCAATAACCAGGTTCTAACCACAAGGCTGTATTTAAATATTGTGATAAAATAATTTTCATTTTTGTTATGTGATAAAAATTATAAGTAATAAAATAAATATTATTTATTCGAATAATTTTGAATATAAATTACTATTGTGCTATCATTCTTACTTTCTAATTTTAATTTTATTATATAATTTCATTGTATTTAACTGTTAATGATGGACGTATCAGCTCGTGTTATTATACTAATACGTCTTTAGCCTTACCATTTAAGGGTCATATTGTATAGTGAGTAATCATAATAACTATAATTTAATGATAAAAAGTATTAAAATGTTATTGAAATTACATCAAATATGAACTCATGGGTAGGGACCCACATAAACCTTTTCTGGCTTATTATAGGAAATTCGGATGAACCGGGCAGTTGTTATCATCAATTACTTCACACCACACCCTATGCAATATGCGCTACCATACACATAAAATATGCATTGCACCTGACAGGCAATTTCGCCTGTTCTGAATATGAAGGGATTACCGATAGTTTTTGCTCTAATGTCCAGAAAGACAAAATGCAGTTTCTACAACAGTAGAAAAAAAGAAAAAAATTACTTATACATTAAAAAATACTGTTTTTGAACCAGTTAAGGTAAAATCTTTTAATTTATTGTTAAAGACATCATCGAATGATGCTTTTTGATCAATTGAAGAATACACTTGTTAACTCCATCAAAATCACTTGAATTATGATGATTGTACAAATTTATAAGAGCTAATAAAATAAACAAGACTTCAGAGGCACACCAATGTAGTATTTTCATATAAGTCGGTAATAGTTTTCAGTTGTCATCAATATCTGTAAACAAGAATCATTAATTTAATAAGCTTTATGGAGTACAACCTTTAATTTTCTTCTAAGCAGCACTTCTACATAAGTACGACGTCTACAACTAGGTATAAATATTTAATGAATAAAAATAATACACTTTTGGGGGTTGTTGAAAATTAAGGTGCTAAGCTTCCATATATGTACCAATGATAATATTTATAATGTATTAAATCAAAATCTTTAACACATTGGCTATTACAAGAAGGTGAGGATAGTTACGCTCAAATATTATTTTATTATGTTTTTTTTTATGAAATAAAAGAAAAAGCTCTGGTAGTCAATGTCTTAAAAAAACATTTTCAATGTCAATAAAAGGATTTCAATATCAGTAATTATATTTTACCTCGGATCATATCATCAATGTCGTTAGGTTCTACATCACTGATATCAAAATCATCATCATCATCATCAGATCCTGAATTTATCACAATAATAATAAATAAAAATAATTACAATTAATTAACTACTAAACATCTTATTTAAATAATAATGTTAAAGATAACATACCAAAGTCCTGATTATCAATTTGTAGATCGGCGGCCTTAAAAAAAATAATTTTTTGAAGCAATTAATAATAATAGATAAAAACAGATTTTAATATTTCCCAAAAACTAAAATCTCAAATCTTATAAGTGTTATGATTAATTGTGAGACTTAGTTTGTATATATTCATCAGTGGCCTGGTAAATTTAAAATATAGGGGAAAATTTTAACTTTATCGTTTTAAACACACCACCCCTATACTTCCAATGAGAGCATCTAAAAATCTCAAGGGAGAATTGCCTTTAAAATCATGTTTATTGTACCACTGTTTTTCATTAGCACAATTGTTAGATGTAAAATTAACTTACATTATTTTCGTGATTCACAACCTCTGGGATGTCGTGTTCATCGTCTGTAAATAGTTCAGTTTATTATTTTAATACCTAATTTTATAAATTAAAATGCACATATACTAATATTTTTAATACACAAAGAATATTGACACTATGGTAATATGATTGATATTTTATATTATTTTAGTACTTAATTAATTATATTTTATTTATTTAAAAAAAAAATTGTTAAAAAAATACGGAAAACATAATTTAAAATAATAATTGAAGAATTTAGGATTAAATGTTATATTTTAATTCTTTTGTAAAATGTAATGTACAATTTTATATAGTACTTTCTTACTTTGAATAGGTGCTGGCACTCCAAATTGTGGAGTTGTATGTATGCAGCGCACAAGAAATTCAAATATTGTCAGTTGACCCATACCCAACTGTCTTTGTGCTCGCAAAATTTTGTTGTTTTGTTGTTGCCATATTACAGGTTGATCCCTATGAATTTCGATTCCATCTCTTGCTCGCCTTATGTCTTTAGTAATGGCTCCAATATATGGTAATAAACGTTCTATAATATAACATTTAATTTTATGAATTATTATCTTACTGAAATAAAGTTTATTACTTTTCTTACCAACAAAAGACCAAGGTGATGGATTTGGATGTGTGAAATGGCTCATCAAGTTCCTGTGGCTCGCTTCCAAAATATTATTTGTTCTATCAGTACGCCCATGTACTGAGAGAGTAACAGGGCCAATTTCTGAAAAGAAGAAGTATTATGAATAGGTATGTGTATAAATGAATGTCAGTGATATTTATCTTTAAGTAACTATATATTTCAACTATAAATTAGTACAACAATAATAATTTATTTTCAATGGTACCATTTATCCAAAAACGCCTATAGTACATGAAAAAATTTCTAAATTTCTAATTTTTTCTTGATGCATTTGTAATTCCTGTTTATGTCCATAGTCAGGTTCACCAATTTCAATCAAATCTACCAGTCCATTAAAATGATTGAAAATGCAGTTAAATCCATCAACAATGTCTTGGGATGGTAACAAAGGCAATGCCATTAACATGTGGACAATTTTCCAGAAGAATGGATTTGTCTTGGCTAATTCTGTCAGACCTAAGTAATAACAACAGTATTTTTAACTTATCTAAATGATTAAAAATGTATTTTTAATAATTATTAATATATAAAATATTATATGCTCATCTGGAGTATTATACAGAATTATGTATTTAACAACTAGTTTTTCCTCTTAATGCATAATTAGTTTACATAAAAGTTTATATAAATTAAATATTCAAAGTTAAATCACAAATGTAATATTTATCTAAAAATTCAATAGACACATATATATATATATATCAGATTTTTATTTTCTTTAAAATAATTACCATCAGTTTGCACACGTTTCCAAACAGCTTGGCCCAAATGAAAAAAACAACCACTGTGCCTACAATTCGGGAAATTTTCTTCAAATGAGCTAATTATCGCCCTTTCAAAATCGCTCATTTCAGTGTTTGGGTTCCAGGCTGGTTCCAATTGCTTTAAAAAGCTAATTATTTTATTATAAGCAGCTGTAGTCTTTCTGGACATAAGTGCAAAAACTATTGGAAATCCCTTCATAATCATAATTATAATTCATAATTAAAGCATAAGTTGTAATATTACAGTATGTTAGTAAATAATTAATTATTATACTTACATAGCCAAAAGATTTTGCCATGATGACTAGCATCTGCTGGCACTGTTGTCCAAATAATGGAGCCGCATCAAAAGTTCCGTCAATATAAATATCAGGACTTTCCCTGAGCAATCTTAATATTTTCATGAGTAAAATATGTTAATAAACTAATATTAGCTATTTGTTTAAAACGTTTGTTATACATCTTAATATACAATACACAGGTAATTTCTAAAGTGATGGTTTTTACCTTCTGGTTTCAGGGGTAATAAATATGATTGAACAACCTTCTTCGCCATGTCCTCTTACTGTACCAGCATAAATATTTACTCCCAAGATAGCTGCTCTATCACGATATGGGCCATCTAGCTGAAGACTAAACTCTTCCATTGATTGCGGATTTTGTGGTTGACCATCTTTCCGAAATCTTGCCATTGTTCTACGAAGGCTTTCATAGCGGTTCACATTAACATCAACAAATGTTTCATTTGTGGACATCTAATATTCAATTAAATACATAAAGTATGTTTCATTTATTAGTCTACATAAGTATTATGTTACACACTTTTTAATAAAATTTAAAATCCTTTAGAAAATACAATTTAAAAAAAAAAAACAGAACAGTGAAGTTGGCGATATTTGTTTGGTTTGTCAACGTTAAACGATAAGACCACGTGTAAAGAATATTTCATACAAATTTGGAACTCATTTGACTTTTTTTCAAAAAGTTATAAAGCGCCTTAATCTTAAGTTACAAAATGTGTACACTTTTAGGGTGTTTTTACGATTTTGAAGGAAAAGAAGTGATATTAATATTTGGCCCATTAATGTACTTTTTACATGCAAAATCTTGGTTATTGGTTTAGGGATTTATAAAATATTTTGGGTCCGGAATCAAAAATCAAAAATACATCATTGTAAAAACAATACTTTCCCAGCTCTGCATTGGCGCTAAACTTATATTTTATCAACTGTCAATAGAATAATGATTATAATTATTGATATCAATTATATTTTATATGTTGTTTTTAACTAAATGTCAGATTATAAATTATATAAATTTAATAGAACCTGATTATAAATAACTCGCATTGGAGTTAACTCATTTTGAGCTCTTGCATTAATTTGGTTTCTAAACCGTCGTATAGGCACTTCATTATTATGTCCATGGTTATGATTTTGTACCAAAATCATAACATTTGGTGTTTCTTGGTACACTTTTCCTCTTGCTGGGCATCTATAAATTATTTAAGTAATTTCATTCATAGTACATATTGCATATCTATTAAGCATTAGTTAAAATAGAAATAAGAAGAGATCAATTTTATTCGGAAAGTTTTTCTAATAATTCAATATTAAAATTGAACTCAAAGGTATTGACTGGGTTTTCTATTAATAGACAGAGGAGTCCTTTGTATATAATTTAAAAAAAATGCCTATTTATAAATGAATTATCTATAGCCATTTAACCAAAAAATCTACAAATTCATAAGAGCTGGAATTAATACGATGCTATACCTCCTGTTTATTAAGGAGTTAGGTGTAGAAAATTTTTTTGCAACATTTTTTTTTAAAGGTTAAACTGTGATGTGTAATTATTAGTTCAGTAATAAGGATTTTTTTTATGGTTTTCAGACTATCACAGCATCCTTGACAGCATCTAAAACAAAAACATAGCTACACAGAATGCGTTTTATTCAGTCCAGAGTGGTTTTAGAGCAAAACCACCTATAATAAAATCAAAAGATAACAACATTTCAAAAACAATGTGATGGACTCACTCATTCTGACGTTATGCTTGTATATGTGTGTTTATTTACTATATTAATCGTATTGTAATAATCAATATTGTGTTAGTTTAATTGTTCAAAATAGTATTAACATTATTATTATTAAAAGTGTTGTCTTCCACTCTAATTTTTTTAATGTTAATGAAATAAAAAGCTATTTTTTTAATAATTAATACATTGTATATTATTTAATTTAAAAAACTTTTCATATAATTTACATTTTTGTATGACAATTAGGATTAGGCACGTTAAAAATTTAAATGAAATATATATATTAAAAAAAAAAGATGGGCTCTATTTTAAAGATAATTTTAACTCTCTAATAATTTTTGTGCCTATTTACATTCTTACTATAAATACAAATACATATCTATTAAGTTTCTTAGTTACTTACTTAGTCACAGATTTATAAAGTCTACATCTATAGGTCATTGGATTACGATTTTTATGATGATTCCAATATATAAAACCTAAATCGTCTTTTTCAATAACTTCGTTTTTCCTAAGACCTGGAACTCGATTTAATTGTCTTATTTGAGCCATTATAATATTTAAAATTTTAAATAGTTGAGAAAAAAATTAGTAATAAATGTTAAGTATAAAATAATTATGTACGTTCTTTCAGCAAAAGTATAAAAACACTCTTGAAAATGAAATGGTTATTAAGTTATGAACTCGGGTATAAACTTAACCGGGTACTATCTATTTTTATAGGTAACACGTTACACATCAGAAACTCAATTAAAAAAAAAAGATTATTGTCCCTTAAAATTCTAGGAACCTGTCTGGGGTCCAATAGATTAGTAAATAATGTGTATACTGTCTAGACAGCTAAGTTCAATCACAAGTATTAATAGATATTTATTTAATAAAGTAACGCCCCGCAGGGAGCAATGAGTACAGATGTAATACAGTAATAACATTAAACAACTTTAACATTAACACAATAAACATTTAACAACCTTATTAACTAACACATATATCAATCACATTAAATTTAAAGCACTTAATTTTAATTTACATATATTATCAAAGAAAAAATCAAAATTAGACAATTTATTACATATAGTTAACATTCTACATATAGGGCTATTTATTACATAATTGTTTGATTGATGCTCAATTAAAAAAGTATTATTGTGCCGATTGTTTACACTAGGCACTGTTATGCCTGGAGGCCGTGTGAGGATGGAAGAGGGTAGGCAGAACAGAATTAACAACCAAAAGTTAGTAATAACTTTTAATATGAATATTAACTATGAAACGTTTATCAACACAATGTAAAATAACAGTTAAGTATTGGACAATAGGGCACTTAATAACAGGACGTTGAGCTGTAGAATACTAGACGACGTCTGACCGATTTAGCCCTGTTCGCAGTGAGTACTTATAGTGGTCGGTTGGCCCTGGACGGTGATAGTTGGACACATAACTAGACCATTGATAGAAGTGTTCCTGGATGTCGTCATATGTAGAACGCAGAGACGTAATAGTATAATAGTACTTAAGTCTAAATAAGAAGTTATTTCAGATAAATGTCAATATAGGGATTGTTATCGCCGTATGGTTGTAACAAGTAGAATGGACGTGAAGGCTTTTGCGTTACAGCACTAAGCGAGATACTCTCTCTAAAAGTTCCGGGCTATCAACATATCCATTTAAAATTTTAAAAATAAATAGAGTATCCATATAAGACCGTATATTTTTTAACCAGACAAGGTTACAGCGATTTTCAATGTCGTCAATTGGGTGACCTTCATATTAATTTTAAGTGCTGCAAATCTTAAAAATTTTCTCTGGATTTTTTCAATTTTATCAATAAGACCGACCTGGCTAGTGTTCCACACTACCGACCCAAATTCCAGGCCAGACCGCACTAAGGCTGAATAAAGTACTGAGAGACACCCTAAGTCTTTAAATTCACTACAGTTTCGTTTAATAAACCCTAGATTGCGGTAGGCTTTAGCACACATTGAGTGGATATGTGTGTTGAAAGATAAGTCGGTAGACAGGATGACACCCAAGTCTTTAATGTTACTGACCATTTCGAGATTTGCTCTATTGACTACATACCTATTTAATATCAGGCTATATTCTCATGTAACAACTTTTTATTAAGTTTAATAAGTAGATCTTTATAAATTAAATCTATTTTTACAAAGGGTTTATATTTAAATAATTAACTGACATGGTAAAAATATGGTGATCATTTTAAAATTAAACTTATAGAAGGTCCTTGTACTTATTTTAAGAATGTATAACCTTTTTTTGGTGTGTATTTAAGTCCGAACTCCGAACGATATTTAGGATGGAGAAATATTTCCTCTTAGGTTTTTTTTAAATGATTATCCTTATCACTGTTGAGACTAGCGTGTTATCATTTGACACTATTATTGCAAATTTTAATATAGAAATTAAAAAAAAAATATTAAACTACCGAGAATATCACTAAAATGTAATACTTTTATAGATTTTATAAACTAAGCCGTTATGATATAATCGTTTAATATTCAAAAAGAAGGCTTGACTTGTCTTATTAATGTGATGATAAAAAAAACGTACTGGAATTAGGAATATGAATTACATATGTTAAGTCATCCCCGTACAATAAATTTGATTTATCTTAAATGACTCTTAATTAGACCTCCGTCATCGGCGATCTGTATATCCAGGATAAAAATAATACTACACATAGTAATGTCACACTAAATAAGAACCTGTGCAAACATTTAGCACTCAACGAAGTCTTGTAATGGGTTAAATTAAGATTATCGAATTTAAATAAGCTGCATGATTTAAGTTATATACATTCATTTAGTTAATACATTATAAAATGTATGCGTTACACTAATATTGAACCAAATTTGAAAAAATTTTGACTTGGAATGTATATCAGGTCACTTTTTTGTGAGCTTGATTGCCCGATTCTGAAATATGGCACTGTTGTTTAGGATCTCCATACTGCTTCTAATTCTATGCAGCTTGAAAGGGTTCAACAAAAGTTTTTGTAGTTTGCAAGCCATTTGTTACACATTCCATGTGAAGATTTCTTCCTCCAATGCGGACCCTTCCTTTCTAGACTATTTTTTTAAACTTATAAATTGTAAGTTTATATTGAGTACTTATAGGTTTAATTTTTATTTTTATTTGTAACTCCATGATGAATTCTGTATTATATTTTTCTGTAATCAAGGACAGTATCAAGCCCGTTTATATTCTAATAAATAAATAAATTGTAATATGGTCATTTTTCATTTTTTGAAACCAAGGTATACAATATACCTAATACTTGGGCTTAAATACCTTTAGGTGAAAGCACAACATTAATTAATAGGTAGGCACTAAATTGCTTACTGGGCTTTTGTTCGTAACAGTGCAAGCGGTGTAAACAACATATTATTTTTATGTATTTATACAGCGTATGCGCTATACTTAAGAATACGTGTCTGTATTAAATAATAGTGGCGTACTTAGAATTTGTCATATGATTGATCTTCAATGGGTTATCTAATCTTGTCCAGACTCCTGATTCTGTAATATGTATAACTCTCTAAAAAATTATGCTGGAATAATGGATTATGACTTATGACCACGGTGAACACTTAGTAAACTTAGTTACTTTTTAAACAGATCAGAAAGAACTTCATAACAAGGCACCAGCCTAATAATACAATACTTATTACTAATTAGGTGTGCTACGTAAAAGTTTAGGTCAAGTAAGATGTAAGTACGACCTGTAGTCTGCACTCACTCACAATGTACATTATTATTCATAATATTTGAAACACTTTTACATTGATTATACATACATTTAGATTATGTAGGTGTAGTTAATTACTACGTATTTTTAACTCTCGGGGTACTACTGAACAACCATAATATTTTCGCCTATGTGAATCCCTCTAAAAAGGTTCAAAATCTTTTATTACTTCATAATGATATTCAAATTGGTAATGAACTCGTATAATTTTAGTCTGCTTAAACAAAAATATTTTAAGGAATATTGTGGAAAAATATGTTTGTAAAGGAAGTTTCAAACTTCCATTAATACACAAATATATTAAACAAGTGATAGATTTCTCTATATAGTATTGTAACGATAGCTTTTGCCTGACTTATTATTAGCAATAATAATATTGTGCATGGCTGGTAGCTATCGTTACTTCCAAACCAAATCTATGGAGTCTCTAATAATTACCTAATCAATTTGGCATCTTTTTATATTTTTGTGCGTGTCACTCCGCCTGTTCTTGTCTTCGGATACCAAGGACCCTAGGTACAGGTTTCTATACATTTTATACTTATTGTTTTCCAGCTATTTTAATATTTTAATCGTTAACTTAATTTCTATTCGGCGTTAAGCCTTTCTAAATAAATAGTATTGTACGTTGCAACTTGAGAGTTTAGTTAATTCATAGTTTAGTTCATTTTAGTTCATTCAAGGTACGACCGGCCCTTTTACTCTTCGGGCGGTTATATAAATTTATAAAGAGTCTCAAGGATTATTTCAGGGTAGATACTGGTTAGCTTCCTGTCCCGGCTAGGGTCCCTCGATTTAGCCCTAGAAGGCGGACAGTCATGAGTGTGGTCCACTCACCGCACTGCACCGTAACAGTATAAGAAATTGAGACTAGCTGTTAGGTACACTAGACTCAGAATATCTGAACCTTAACTGTGTGCCTGTATAAAAAAAATAATAGGTTAACCCCACTAAAATAGATATGTTCGTTACAGACTTATACAGTTTATATTTTTAATTTTAGTGGTCCTAATATATTTTTTTTGTAGAGTATACAAATAATAATTTGAATCTTTTGTATCAATGTGTGCATTGTGTGATCATATTAAGTATTTATTATTTTATTTATTAGCACATTAGTTATCAGTATTTTATTTTAGTAGATATGAGGGGCACAAAATATATATAATATGATACTATACATATTTAAATAAAATAAAATTTTAAAGTATTTAGTTATTTTAAATTTAATTAAAAAATATATAAATGTGTTTATAGTCAATTTTCACATCATATAATTAATTTACGTCAGTCGAAACTCAAAATATTATTTTAAGTATTAACAAATATTATTTCCTCAATTTTAATTAAAACTTGTATTGATATATTTTTATGCACATACAATTATAACTAATACATAGAAAAACTTTATAAGAAAATCAAAAACATCTTTATGAACAATTTATAATATTTAATAAGAATTTACTAGTATTATTACTCTTAACTAATATTTCACTATTGTTTTCCCAAAATGTTAAGTGGAGTGAAGGTTTTTCATTCATTTATTCTAAACTTCTCTACATATACATTTTCTTAAATTAGTTTTATAATTATAATTAATAATACAATTTGTTATATTTTGTATTTTATATACAATATGTCATATTTCGTCCATAACCACTGTTTTTAACATGAATTCCCCTTCACAGATCAAACTTAATTGATATTAAACAAGTTGTAATATAATAATAATAAAATTCATCTAAATTATGTACTCTAACTTCAATGTCCTTCAGATAAAATCACCCAGGATGGCCTACATTTTCTAGTTTCTAGCTGTTCAGTCTTACTCTTCTTTAACTTATATCTGTTATTGCGTTTTATGCTAAGCAATACAACCAATGACTCAAAATTTATTTACAGTAGTCTTATGAGTGTTATAATTGTAATCAATGTTATATTCCACATAAAGTTTAGGACATTTTATAAAAATAAATGAAGACATGAAGTGTGGTTTTATAAAACAATAAAATAGCAGTTTATGAAAATTGTTTAGTATATTTAATAAAAATATAAAAATATTGAAATATTTACTAAATAAAATTAAGTTTTTTTTTGTGATGATAACCGTGTGATAACATTTTGTGATAACAGTGTGGTAACCATTGTGGTAACTTGGGAGCTTCTGACCATCTGGGAACCTATGACCGAATGCCGTTTAAAACACGGTCTTAATAATAATATCAATAAAGTGGTAATTTTTTATCATTGGGGAACCTGGTAACAGCACAGAATAAACACAGCATAGTTATTCTGTGGTAACAGCTTACAAAAAATAATAAGTTCTACCATTTGCCCACGAGGAGCGTTAGCAGTATCTCAATTTTTTAGATAGGAACCATAGTTTAAATACATTTAATCTATGTAGGAACTCTTGTGGTCACTTTTTCATAGCTCGATATGGAACCAGATTATCTACAGCCGTGATACTAGCTTTTGTGGCGAATGCAGGTAAAAGGTTGCCCGGCCGGTGTCCGAAGACATTGTCTGGTAGTTGTCGTGTGCGTATTTATATGTGCGATCTGGGTGACTTTGATCACATGCGAGAAGTTCGCTACGGTTCGTCACAACTACCGAGATCTGGCGATCTGACCATGTGTTGAGGCAGTATCGATGCCGACAGCTAGGTTGTGCTAGCTGTGGCGCCTCGTAGCCATACATCCGCCACAGTGCTGTATGTGGGGCCGCCACACTTTCTTCGTTAAGGCTTAAGCGTTATCATTTAATTTATTATGATTATTATTACAATAAATTGAAATTGGGTTGCTTATATATTTTAATATTTAATAATAATGTATAAACATTACACTAATCATTAATTTTATTAAATAATAATAACAATTGTGCTAATCAGTAGTACTATTTTAAAAATAAACTCGATTAAAAATGACGGAAGAGAATATTGTTTTAGAAGGATTCCTCTGTCCAATTTGTAAAGTAGACTATGGCATAGATCTGAAGCTGTTTTTACATTTCCAAGAAGCACACAGTGAAGATCAAGATCTCGTGAAATCATTTAAAGGTTAATAGTATAAATTTATAAGTGTTACTCAAAAATGTATTTACAAATTTGTTTAATATAGTTGTATATATATATTTGTGTACAGATTTATTTGGTAAAGCAAAAGAAAAGATTTTGAAAAATGATATTATCAAAAAGGAAGAACGTCAATATACATGGCTTCCTCAAGAGCTGGGTACAGTTTGTCATATAAAATTTATGTCAATAGTTAAAAACATTAATCATACGGCATTCTTTTAAATTTGTCTCCCTTTTAAGAATGGCAAATTTAAATATCAAAGTATAATTCTAATCAATTGAGACAATTGAGGTTTGATATTTTCTATACTTTGCCGTTACTTATTTAAATTTTAATCATTCATTTTTTCATAATATTATTATTTATTATATGTATATTATATATACATATTTTTTTCATAATTTATAGGATTTTATCATAATTGCATTTTATATGTTTAGGAAAAAGCAGATCTCATATTGAAGATTTCAAAAGCTGTCGTAATAGATGGGTTGAACATTTTGTAATGGAAACTAATAAAACAGTAGTTCGACTTGAAAAATTACTTTGTAATTTACCTTCAGATCCTAATAAACGTAAAAGTAAGAATGTTAATATTTTTTTATGTATTTGTTCGTTATAACATTAAGTATTTTTTACAGTTCACGAACAATCTGTAGTACATTGGTTAGACGGCACGGATGTAAAACGATGTCCAGAATGTACTAAATCATTTAACATTACAAGGCGCCAACATCATTGCAGATTATGTGGGACTATTGTCTGTAATGAATGCAGCTGTTTTTTGCCTTTCTCTAAAGCATGTTAGTATTTTATTAACCAAAATAAGTTATTCCACATTATTTCCTGCAAAATTCTCTTACAAAGTTGTTAGACAAATTTTTTTTTCAAAAATATTATTGTTTTTCCCAAACAAATTGCATTATTAAAATTTTGAGTGACATTAATTTGTAACAAGATTGTGCAAAGACCATCATTATTTTATTTTAAATAAATCTTAATAATCAACTTTTATTAGATAGTAACATGAGGTACGTGTCATTATAAAAATTACATATAGGAGATTTTATCATACTATAGCTTATTTTTTTCTAAATTCATGAGTACCAAAATCTCAAACTTGTAAATTTGTCTCGTGAGGATTTTTTTCGTTTTAAACAATGATATATCAATGAATACCTTAACACATTAATGACTTAACTTATCAAATGGATAATAGATTTAAATTAGTTTATAAGTTGCATTTTTAATAAATAATTAAAAGACAAGATTTTTATTTTTATAATTATTGTAGATTTAAAATTTTTATAATCTTATGAAAAATTAAAATATCTAAAATGGGTGAGTTTAAAAGACTATTTGATTAATACTAAGTACACAATAAACTAAAAGATATTTTATATCCAAAAATTGTTTGTTAGTAATCTTATTTTCTTTACTAATAAAATTATTATTAATTTGTAAATTTGTTTTACTAATTTTTTTCTTAGTACTTTACTTGGTTATAGTGTTCATTGTCCCATAAATATTTGTGGGACATCTACTATTTTCTTATGATAATGATTTTTATTTTGTTTTAAAATGTTAAATTAAAGTATAGTTAGGTTTATGAATGGGCTGAATAAAAAATATGCTCATGCACAGCAGATAGTCAAAACTGTATAGTCTACTATATGAGCCGACGATAAATGAAAATGGTTTAAGTCACATTTAAGTTGTTTTTAATAATAGAAGATTTAAGTTTTGTACTTCTGTAACTTTGTATTAGCTAACAAAATTTTAAGTGGCACTCTCTAACGAACAAAGACTCAACTTAACTTACTTCACTGACTAAATGACTCTTTAAGAAGAGTATACTAATATGCCCTAGCGATATTGCGGATTTTTAAAAAATTTGACTTACGTCACTTTTATTCTCACCGTCTCATAAAATACTGAAGATTGAAAAAAAAATCAGTAAATACATTATAATATGTTGTTTTAGATGAGGCAATAAATGAGATAGCAAAAGATCAAACACTATCATCTACTCAGGATTCTATTAGTTTTCGACTTTGCACTCACTGTGGACAAGTATTAGAGAATCGTGAACAACTTAAGTACCGTGACAAGCAGCCTTCAATTTGTAACTATTATGAAAAAATCATGGAATGTCGCAAAAAAATAGAAAACGACCAATTAATTAAATTTAATCAGACTTACAACTTATTACAGTAAGAAGGTTCATCATAGTTTTTATATAATTTAATTGTTCTTATTGTCCTAATTGTCCTTAGGGAAGGTGAATCTTTATATTTAAACGAAGCAAATAAAATTAGAAGTAATATAGTTAGACTAGTTGAAACTATTGATGCTCTTAGGTAATTAATTTGACATAGTCTTTATGGTTATTTGTTTTCTTTACTGTTTATTTGAATTTTAATCAAATTTAACAAATGTTTAGTAATAGGATACTAAAATTGGAAAATGACAATCAGTCTACAAAAGTTGTGACCAAAAATATTAAGCTAGCAATGATACAATATGTACGCACGACAGTTCTTGCAATACCAGCTTTACCTACATTACAAGAAATTGAAGAAATTGCAAAAAAAAAACGGTAAAAATTTGTTTTTTTTTAATCCTTATAGTTTATTGTATCCTTATACACACACCAATTTAACTCGCTCGATGTGTGTTCATTCAGTTGTCTGGAACATTATTTTAATTATAAATATATATATAATTACATACTTGATTATGAATACTAAAATACATGTACAAAGTATCTTCAATCAGATAAAAAAATTCTATCAGCCATTATAGGTGTTTTCTAATGCTCAATGTTTTCAACAGGGATGCTGCAAAAGCCCGTCTTTACAATGGTCAAGAATTATTAAATGAATCTAAAATTAATCAACTCACTCCTAAACAAGGAAGAGTCTCATCAAAAAAAGTAAGTGTATTTTATTTATTTTTGATACTTCTCACAAGTACCAATTCAACATCAAGTGGGCACATGAAAATGATATTCAATAGTCAATAATAATAGTTACAAAATATAAATTAAAATATAGTAGTTTATCATTTTTAAAGCTCCTACAGACGATACAATTTAGTTAGCCTGACAGGACCATTAAATATTAGGTGTTGCGTTTACACAACTGAACTTGCAGCATGGCTTGATCAATATTTTTCGCTTTTCTAATATGCGCATTATCTGGCATCAACAAATATGGCCCCATTTTATTAAAACAAAACATTGGTATTATACCAGAAAGAGAAAAATGACACTAGACAAAGACAGGTTTTTAGTCAAACGACACATCTACACAACAAGACCTGACAAAATTATCAGGTCAACCAAATTGTATCATTTGTAGAGGTCTTACCTGAATCATGTCTATAGATTGATATTGCCCATTATTATATTCTTACTTAAATTTGCCTATCATTATAAATTATATATGTATTTATAATATGGCAATAAATAAAAATACATTGCAAAAATATAATTGATGTTAAGAAATACAATTATTGAAATGTAAATAATGTATAAAGTCTCAAGGAGTAATATTGAGGACATTTAAATGATATATTTTGTACATAGGAAATCAAATTAACGCTCGAAGATGGTTGGAGCCCTGTCACAAATGCAAATGTGAATTCGGATAATCCTGTGGTAGAACAAATGAACATAATAAGAAATTACATTATACAAGCTAAAGAGGCATATCGTTTTGATGAAGTAGCCAGTCTGGAAAAAAACTTGCAAGAGTTAAATGAAGAATATTTTCGAATGCAAAATAAAAGCAAGAATACTCAAAATGATTCAAATAATTGATGGTTTTTCTAGTCCGATAAAAATTATATTTTTTTAATAATAGTTAAATCACAAGAGATTTGTAAAATAATAATATATATAATATAAATATAGTAATTGTCGATAAGTCTATATTTATCACAAAAAGTTATGAAGTGTTACTACTATTTTCTTTAATTTATTTTACAAATAAAAAAATAATTCTGAATACCAATTAATAAAACTACAAATTGACAAAATAATAGAACTATCAGACAGAGAAAATAAGTCACTAATAAGTTTTTATGTTTATAAACTTTAGATATATATATATATATTATTCTAAATGAGGAATGTTTTATTTTTTATTGATTTCAAACTCTGGTAATGGATCTCGCCAGTAAACAAACTGATTGTAGTCCACTTCTTGTAACTCGTGTAACACTGGAAACATTTGATCGACCATTGTGCTCATATATGTATATCTAAAAAAAGTATATATATTATGTTTTCTGTCTATCGTACTAGACTATTTGATTTTAAAGCAATATTATGTTATTTAATAAAATTTATGCCGGTTATATATTAGCAAAACAACACAAGTTAAAAATTATTGCAACACTTCACTTCTCTGTTTGCAAGGTAAATAAAATATTGTAGATAATAAAATATATTAGTGTATATATATATATATATATATATATAATTCTATAATTGTGATTTGTATTTTAAAACATAAATAGGAGACATTTAAAAAACAACTCCACACATACACAAAAAATGTACTAATTATTTTCATCTTTTTTTTGCTAATAAGGTAAAGCAGACGAATAATTAACTATTTATTATTATTATATTGAACACTAATTATAAATATATTTTTTGTCACAACTTTTTTCTGTTACAATTTCAAACAAATATTAATGGGAGAATATATAAAAGTACACAAAAAAAAATAATATTTATTTCTTAGTATTATAAAAGAAATACTGTTGTCATTTGTTTTGTCTGAAAATTAAATATCAAAAATATAATTGGAACCGCATTTAGACGCAGGCACCATAAAAAAGTATTATTTTTAATTATTTGACAATTTCAAAAAAAATTCTATACTAATGCAATATATAAGTAAAACTTGCTTATTTAATACAATCCATTATTTTATTTTGCATTAGCCAAACATGTTAAATTAATATTACAATGTTATTATTTAAAATTTATTTTTTATTTTGATTAACTTCTAAAAAATGTGTAGTAATATTTTTTACAATTAAATAATAAACTTCAAATGTTCCTTTTTAAGTTAGACAATGTGATTTGCAGGTTATTTTTCAAAAATGTCAGAACCTTCTCACTTAAGTTGGAAGGTGAGTATACCCCCCCCCTGCCCTTTGGTAAAGCCCGCACCAAAGGTTCAGCCTAGATTGTCTACAGATCCAAAATATAATAATACACATCAATATTTAATAAATATGTTATTATTATTTTGAATAAAGTAAAGCAAAAACTAAACTCAATAAGGCAATTATAATTGGAGTTAAGTATTACTTAGAATTGAACTGTTAGCGTCTCATGCAAACCCCGTGAAAAAGTTTAGATTACTATCCCTTACCAAATGTTTCGCATTCTAAAGAAGTGGTACTAATGGTTTCCCCACCATTGATTATAACATTACAAACGTCATTGTTACAGTTTGTAACGTCACTGTTGTTGGTCAAAACTGGGAATAGATCGTTAACAATACAACTCTGTCCAATATAACTGAACAAGAAATGTGTTGAAAAAAATTGATGTATACATTCTTCTTATCTACATATTCATCAAATAATTATACTCACGATGATTGAAATGTTTGTGTTAGTTCGTGTTTTAACTCTCCTCTGTGATTTATTGTGAAAATTCTTGAAATCGGTATGCCAATAGCCTGGTAAGACCAAACATCCTAAACATAAAATTTTAATTATTTTGATAAATTCACTCAATTTAAAACATTTAAGCTAAAAATGGAAAAGATTCAATAGGACTGAAGGCGATTGTACTAATATTTCAAACTTCATAGTAAAAACTTACATTAATTTTATTACCATAACCCGCATAAAATGGTTTATTATCAGACGGAAATAAAGCTTGAATATCTTTAAGACATGATATTTTGAATTCTTCGGGTTTTTTCTCAATTACTTCACGATGAAAAGCATTTAATAAACTGGTTGGATTTAACAGAACTGGACCTTCAGGTAATGACAAATCTTCTTGTTTAATGCTTTTTAAATATTCCCTAGTCACTCTAGACTGGCCAATTGCTCGAGCAGATAAATATAATAGTTTATAACCATTATCTTTTATTTTAGTAAACAATTTGGCAACACCACTTTGAGCCCAATCTTTACCGACAATGGGCAGTATATGACCTAATACGTCAGATCTGAAAACAGGATATGATAATTTTCTATTCTTTCAAATTTTCAAATCGCACGGTAACCATTAAAACTTACTTAGTAATGGTTCCATCAATATCCGATATGACTATTTTATCATCGTACCTCCACTTAAACAAAAAACATTTACAATGACTAGTTCCTTGATAAGCAGTGGTTACACTGAAGACTATTTCATTCGATCCTTCTCTTAAATTTAATTTTGCCTGTAAAAAAAAAATGACAAACTTCAGTTGTAGTCACAATACAGCCCTTCACCTATTGCTATTTTTGAATATTTTAGTAATTATTATATTTTTAATTGTATTATAAATTATAAAAGATAGTTAGTGGTTTTAATTTTTTTATTAATGCATGTTTACAATTTGTTCAGAAGTCAAACGTAATGTTTTCTTGTATTTATCGTTTTTATCCTTTGACTTGAAAGTCAATTTAGTAGTTTCCATCTCAAGCTCGGAATCCGTTGAACTGTAGCACCTTTGTCTTATACTAAAAATATCGAGCTTCAATAAATAACATTCATTATTTCATAACAACAACACACTTAAAACTATTCAATATTCAACAAATTGTTTACTAAATTATATAATCATTTAAAGAGCCTACATGTAATTATCTGAAAATTCAGGATCTACTTTTCCATCAATTTCTGATTTAATACATTCAGATATAATTGAATTGTGCAACATTTCATTAGGCATATTCTGAGAACTACTTTTTATCTCATCCATATTATCATCTGTAAAAAGAACAAAGAAAATACATTTCTTTTATTGAATTAACTAAAATGTCCTTAAAACATGCAACCATATTTTTTTGTCTTGACATAATCTGGTAATTGAACATATCATTCTGGTTTTATTAGAGAAATCAAAAACTAATTTTTAAAAGAAAAACTATTTTCAATCATTTTTTATAATCATGATATTATTCAAACAAGATGTTGTTTAAAATACATTTTTTTAGATGAAAAATATTACAATTTAGTTGTGTATGAATAATATATTATTCATTCTGTGGTTCTGTTTCATACAACCACAGCGATAATTACCGGTAAAAATAAAACATATACCAAAGTCAACGTTTTAGTTTTTCTTGCTTCTATTAATATCTATCTATATTGAGTTAATCATTTGAGTTATTTGAAATAATACTATTTTTTATTTTATTCGTTAGTCACATTTTCATTTTTTTACTTTTAAAATATGTAAAAAATCTAATTTTATTAAGATGTTTTATTTTTGTTGAAATCAATAAATAATTTATATTATATTCTTCTTAGAACTTGTTTTCTTAATAAGCAAAATATTATGGCGTGATTTATATATTAGTCAATCAGTTGATGTTAAAGTAATTCGCGTGTTAATTGACGTCAATAGAAGTATTGCATTGTATACAGTTTTTGTTCTAGAAAATTTTTTTGGTCTTATATAAAAGGGAGTCAGGGGTATGTTATTCACTCACTTATAACAAGTCTTTATTATTAATTTATATTATATTTAATATTAGTGAAATATTACTGTTTTATTATTACTATAAAACTTGTGTTTAATTATTATTTTGTCTTGATCCACGTACATACACACCTCAATATCCAGCAATTTTTAATTATAAAATCTGGATATCTGGTAATTGGATACCTAGTAGTTTAACCTGATCTCAAGAAATATTCCATACAACATTTCAGACCTCTCAATCTTTTTTTTCAGTTATCATTTTAAAATGTATTTATTTAGTTCATTTTTTCAATTGCCATATTGTTTTGTACGATTGATGTTACTATAAAGTGACATGAAATGTTAAACTGGCCAGTTATTTGTATATAAAAATATAGTCATAAGAGTACATTTATTCCTGTATCATAAACAATTATAAATGGGGTGAGATATTTACCTGCTGATTCTATAGGTTTTGTGTCTTTGCTAGTTCGACTCCAATTAAACCAGGACGTATAACCTCGATTTAAACCTTTAGTTTTATCTTCTTGTACCTTTGATCCATGTATATCATTCTATGGCAAACAATTTAAGTATACATGAGATAAAATTAGATCATACTATAGATATAACAAAAGCATGAGCATCTCAACAATTTCAGTTGTACCTGAGGCAATGGTTTTTGATAAGCAGCTATTGAGATCAACTGTGGTAATGCGGCCTGGCAACTATAGTATTTTTTATTAATGCACACAACAAGATTAGGATTCTTTACAAGATTATTGAATTCTGATTTGAATTCTACATAACTTATTTGATGAGCTACAAACTTTTCTTCAGTTAGTTCATTGCCATCTAAATTATTTAACCCACCACAGAGTGAAACCGTTACGTCATATGTCATACTATTGAAAATAAAACAATATAAATACATTTAAAAAAAAAATACAAAATAATAAATATTATAGTTTACTTTTGATGGTACTTTTCTTCAAAATCACTATCTAACGATTTCGGTCCTTCCCTATCCATACTAGTTGGTGAATGTGATAGAGAAGCACCTTTACCCGACTCGACATCATCGTCTTCTATTTCATCAGTTACTTTGACTTCATCCTGTCTTGGTGGTGACTGATTGTACAAATACATTTCCAAAACCTTAGGATCTAGCTGTTCTGCACATAAATCAGCTAAGTAAATACCAGCATTCTCAGAAGAATTATGACGAATGTGTTTGGTTTTCTTCATAAAACCTAACATATTAGCTAACATTGATCTCTGATTTGCTGCTTCTTGCTTTTTTGAAGCTTCTTGCAAGTTCAACTTTGAATCATCAGAATCTAAACTACTTCTACGAGCGGGTGGTGTTGGTAACTCTCCCCAACGCCATGATTGATGATCATTAGCACAGTTTTTTAAATCAGTCGTATTAGCCGCAGAAGTTCCAATAAAGTTTTCTATAGCTGTATCTCGGACTCGTTGTTGCAGTTCATATTCAGTATCTGACTGAACAGTCGAACAGTTATATTTCACTTCCCCTGAGCTGAAATCATATTTACATAATTTACACATTTTGTAAGTACTATACAAACTTAGCCAACTTATTGTTAATTCGATACAATATTAATTCTTTGTGTATTTATTACAATACTGATATCCAATCACACAATAAAATATGTATAATTAAAAACATTTAAACCATCTCGTCTGGGAATGTTATGAAGAGAGAGGAATCGGAAGCAATAAGAATGGTAATAAAATAAACAGAAGAGAAAAGAGGGTAAGTGGAAAACTGAAAAACAGTGGTTGAGAATGATGTGAGAACTGCAGGTGTATGCAAAGATGTGGAAGATTGTATCATGTGGAGGGTTAGGAAAAGGGTAGCCAACCCAAACTTAATTGAGAAGAAAGAGAACATTTATTATTAAAACTATAGCAATATTTCAGTTTGATATCAATAAAAAAAATGGCAATATCATTATCTTCCAAGACCTTTATTATAGTCAGTTGATGGCTACGACTAATAAAAAAGTTTAAGATTTTATTTACTTAGAGCTAGGTGAAACATCTGTATCACTAAAAAAGTGTAAGTCGTTTTCTAAATATTGATCATGGGAACGGTCATCATTGTCTATTAAACATGAAGCAGCAGGAAGATCACACGATCCAAACGTATTGCCAATTTTTTTTGTTTCATCTTTATCTTTACGTTTAATCATAGATTTTTTACGACGCCGTTTACGCATTTGTGGTCGTGGAGGAGAATCTTCAATTGGCCTAAATTTTGAACAATTAAATTCTGGAGCTCTACAATCAACTGTCTCAGCACAAAACGTTTTGGGTACAGTTAATTCTGACTGAGAGATGAGCGCATATTCTAAATTTTTTCGCCTATAACAAATAAATATAAATATTGTAGTAAAATTATATTGATTTAAAAAGACATTTTTTTAATAATATATATTTTACTCTTCGTCGTCGGGTATTGGGGAGCATGCTAGATGGGGTGGTATGGTTTCCAGATTATCTTCTTCTGATATTTCTTCAACAAAAAATGCTTCACCCGATTCTCCAAGCTTCATGTAAAGCTGAGAAGGCTCCCCATTAATTTCTACTTCAACCTAAAAATTAAAAACTAAAACTAATGCTATCCATATAATATAATAGTTATCATATATAGAGTCTTTATAAAACAAAGTTTACATATTATATACAGGTATTATATTATATACAGGTTTACATATTATATAGTACATGCAATCCTGCTAAATCACCGTGATAACCCCTATATTATCTTAAAATAAATTATCATTATATATTTTAGGCACTTTATTCCCTATAATAATAATTTTAATGTTAAGAGTTAAATTATATTTATTCAAAAGCTAACTGACATCAGTTACTGATAAGTAGGGCAAGCTTGGTCAATAACATTAACATTAATGGTAATCAAGTTCAACCTAGGGAGCAGAGTGACCGATATGGAAATAGAATTTTATATAATATTTTATATATATATATGGTTTTATTACTTAATAAATATGATAAATAAATAAATTAACTGCTTATTATTATTTTTTAAATAATGTTATAAGTTACATGTAGTTGTTATGTACTTGTATATCATATTAGAATACCGTACGTTTTTATTCTTTTAAGGTCATAAAGTTAAAGGCTAAGATAAAAAGTTCAACGATTCCAACTAAAATTGCATAATATTAGTAATAATCATGAAGGTATTAGTACTTAAGGAACATGCTACAATTAAAAATTTGTTTAATAGCAAATATGTATGAATGTAAGCAATTCATAATTTAATAAAATAAAATTGACATAAAATTTCTGACATACATTTTTTTTGTGTACATTCATTTTTTATTCTCTTTTGTAATAATTTAAACAGACACTTTACATATACCCAATATTTTTTAATGCACTATCTACTATATGGCCAGGGTTAGAAAATAAATGAAAAACAAATTATTATTAAGTTAAAATAAATTATTGTTGACAATTTTTTTCTAATAAATATAAATAAGAAAAGTAGATGTGATTATCTTAATTTTTAAGACATTTAACACCATTGACGCGTAAACGTGTCTAGTTTACATACATTTCTATAGGGCCAAAATCGAGAGTGGCGTTGAAAGTGTTAAATAATTTATTTTTTCAAAAGTTTAATACTTGTACTGTTTTATTTGCAAAACATATCAATATAATTGGGTTACAGATTATACCATAAATTAAGTAGGTTAATTGTTAATAAATGATGATTGTAAATACAATTTTTGTTATATAATAATATTGACAATGTTTAATTGGAACTAAAAACGTTTAATTATATTTTATATTTATTACACAATTAAACAGGAACAATATTTGGTTTTCTCTATACAAAAAAAGGTACATTTCATTAAATGTTATTTCCTCAGTCCTAAATAATTACCTTACTCTGACCTTACTATATTTTTTGATAATATTATTATCTGATCTCGTTAAAAATAGATGTTTATAGATGGATACACTTTTTATTTTCAAAATGTCTAACGGTTCAGTTGATAGCCCAGAACTTCTAGAGAGATTATCTCTAGAAGTACCTAGAGATAACACTCGGCATCATATTGTTATTTTTGTAGAGCATCAGTCAAAAAATTATGTTTTAAATAGACCTATATGTTGAATGTTAAATGTATGTAATAAATTGTCCGATTTTGAATTTTTTTTTGTTAATATCACTAAATTAAATTGAAGTGCCTTAAATGTATGTGATTAGATATATGTTTCAGTGAATAAGAAGTTAAGTTAAATGTTAAAATATGTATTGTGTATATTATAAATTATTGTATTGCTTGCATCTGTACTCATTTTCCCATGCGGGACATTACTCTTATAAATAAATAAATAAAAACTATTAAGTTATCATAAATTATTCACGTAAATTTTAGTATAAATAATATTTTCTTATTATTATTTATTAGTCTTTATCTACAGAAAAATTATCCTCAAAATATTATTCCTAATTCCTTAATGATTACTAAATGTGTTTATTGTTACAGTATAATGGCTATGTAATACAATTTACAAAAAAAGAAAATAGAATAAAAAAAATGGCAATATAATTTAAACTTACAATTTTTTCCCTACTTCGAAGTACGCCAATTTTACCAAACCGCACGTGAAATGGAGAGCATGTGAATGTTCCATCTGGCTGTTCAACAACAACTATGTCTATTGCTCCAGTTAAGGTGGCTGGATTAATTTCATTGTAAACATGTCGAAAATTGCTGATGAATTTTCCTAGATAATTCATCCTTTGTCACAACAGATAACACTATAGTTTCACTGACCACTGTAACAAAATAAAAGATTATTAATTAGTTACATGCACGCTAAAATCAAACATAATATAGACTAACATTTATAAGTACTCTTACCTAAATTTATTATCAAATGCTAAGATAACCAATGAGTTAAAATTTACATTATTAACAAGAGATATTGTAATTTGTTTAAGATGTCTTGTAACTAGAATAACGATTAACAAAGAAATAGACAATATTTACAGCAATATGCTTATAATAATGAACAAACTGTTGTGCTATGATTCACCGTCCAGAACATTATTACAATTTGTGTTTACACTTGTCACACTTCACAGTCTCGTTCTAAACATAACTCATGTGACTGTACAGTGTACTGTATACATCAAATGTGTATCAGTCATCAGACATCAGTGTATACTGTATAGTTGTTTTGGTTTGAATGCGCTGAATCTAATTTCACTGATCCGAACAGCTGATTTCGCACTTAACGCACAAAGGAGCGTGCGCTTGCGCGTGCCGCGGTGTACCTATATACGTATAATATGACCATGCCCAAGAGCAATATCAAGCATGTTTTATGTATTCATATACATCACAATAGACGTGAAAAAGTGACCTATTTATCACAGCTGTTTCGTATCGTTTAAAAACATAACCATAACATATCTATAACTTCTCAAATTTTAGGTAGACATTTACTCGTGTATTTACTTATGTGTTTTATATGTTTTTTTAAAAGTGGTATGCTCTTATACTTAGCATTATGGTTGAAATATACAGGTTATTGACTATTGTACATCGTCTCGAATTTTTATCTTCAGAAACAAAATGGCAGCGTAAGGGGATATCAGTTTTACTATATTATATTTTTCTGTGTACTTCAAGTATGAAGTATATAAATACTTGATTTTATGCTGACATATTTGTTTTTATCATCGAATATTTTATGAAGAAAGGGTTTTGTGCAAATTGCAATAACATTGTATATTTAAAATTTCAATAATTATTCTGGATTCATGCTTAGCATAACTAAATAAACAGGCATAGTCGCTGGATTAGAAACTTTTCCTATCTTTCCGATTTTGCACACTTGAGTCTTCACCCAGTCATGGAAGATAGTACTATGGGAAATTAAATCGGTAATCCTTTTTTTCCAAGATTGATGAAGAATTTCTCTGCGCAGTAATTAGCATTAAAAAAAAAAAAAGATAGCTGCTTTCTGCGTAAGGCCATTTAATTCTTACCCCCCCCCCTCCCATCTACAACGTCAATTACCATGAACCGAATCGACAATTATTCAATACCTCAAATAAAACTACTAAAAATCAGAAGGCCAAAGTTAAAAAAAACAGCAGAGAAACATTTGCAGTACAATTTTGTTTGCAATATAAATATCATTATTTATTACTAGTATTTTTACGGATCAAATCAAAATTGTGAAAAAATAATAACACAAATTTGTATGTAGATTTGTCCTCCTCCATTTACATTGTCCAAAAATACGTATAGGTCATGTCATAATAATGTATCATTCGAGGACGTGGCCGGTGGCATCAAAAAGAAATTTTCGGATGTTATAGGATAACCACGTCACACATTGGTCTAGAATCCGAAAAAAGCGATCGAAAATGGATTTTTCAAAATGGTCGTTGAGACCTAATTTGTTTAGTAGTTACCTAAGTTCTGTAGTATATGTAAATACCCAGTTTTAATTTTTAACATTTTTTTTGCTACTAGAAATGCTGAGTTAAAGATGAGAGGTCACCTACTGTTATATTTGTTAACTGTACGTTTCATTATAGCATATTGTCCAATGTTGAATTATAATATATTTTTACTCCACCTCCCCTCTTTTTTCTGTTAAATAACATTTTTTATACAATCATTATTAATTAACTTTTTTTTACGAAATTCAGCCACAAAAAAAGCGTATTACTCGCCAAATCGACATTAAAATACACAAACAGGTGTAGTGAAAAAAAAAATTAAGCTGCAATAGTTATGGTGTGAGTAACTAAATAATTGCTATAATTTAGATGCGGAATAGTTGTCCAACCAATTGAAATTGAACAATATTATTACTGAATTTTCTGCTCCTTTTACAATGACCGAACTGGAATGGGCATTGGGCCAAACTAAGGAATATAAATCGTCAGGCTTAGATATGATACTTTCCGAATTTATCATATACTCAGACCCAAATACCCGCCGATACCTAGTCAAGCTTTTTAACGTAATTTTGGATTCGAGCGAATTACGAAAATTGTTTAGGGTTACTAAAATTCACGCAATAAGGAAACCTGAAAAAGATGGAAATGATGCTGGTGATTATGGACCTATCTCACTTCTTAGTAGCTCTTATAAGCTTCTAAAACGACTTTACACAATCGAATAGCGTGAAAGTATTTTAAATGAGGCCCTGGACAACTTAAGAATTTACTTTTCAAAATGGACGCTCAAACTTAACAGCTCAAAAACTGTTTCTTCTCTTTTCCATTTAAAGAACAGAGAAGCTAACGTTGAAATGAAAATCAAGTCGGAAGATCAGAGTATTAAGCATGAATTTACTCCTAAATACCTTTGAGTTATTCTAGATAGAACATTGACCTATAAGAGACATCTCGAAAACACAGCAAACAAAATAAGAACAAGAAATAACATAACCTGCCAGCTTGGCAGGTACTATGTGGGGAGCAAATACTCGGACTTTGTGAACCTCTGATTTGGCATTGGTATACTCAGGGGCAGAGTGTTGTGCGCCTGTTTGGTCCTTAAAATCAACTCCTTTAGCCTGGCTCCCTGTTATGGCAAATATTCCCCCTCTAGACGAGAAGAGGCACTCAGGAAAAAATTGAAAAAATATCTAGAAAATCCTAGCCTCCCAAACCGTTCAACTATTGACTCCCTTCAATAAATGAGACTAAAATCGAGGGACCCGGTATGGAATGGAATTGCAAATATTAATTTAAACGAGTCCCAAATAGCAAATAAATGGATTGATAAATGGAAGGAAGAGTCACCCAAGAATAACCATTTAATTCGCGACCCTAACAACCGCCTGCTTGGATTCGATCTCTCCAGAAAACAGTGGGTACTCTTGAACAGATTCCGATCTATTCACGGACGTTGCGCGTACCTTATGCACAAATGGGGATTAGGGACATCAAGTAGTTGTGAATGTGGAAATGCCAATCAAACGATGACACATATCGTGGAAGAATGCCCCTTATATTCATTCGAAGGCGGATTGGTTATCCTCCACAACTTAGCAGACGGAGCTACAGAATGGTTGGTTAAGCTACCATTAGACTCAGGGCCGGACTTAGAGGGGGGGTTTGACACCCCCCCCCCACTCGGAAAACTCAAGTATACCTAGTCGGCACATTTCGAACAAAAAGTCGGTAAATATTATATCCCCCATAAAATTATACAAATAACATATTTATTATTTTTATTTTATAAAAGTAGGTAGGTACATAATTTTTATTGGAATCTAGCGACGAATAGTGAATAGTCGGCATACGGACGACCATACGAAAATATAATTTTAGTTTTTAGTAAAAAAAAAACAATGCAGTTTCGGTTATTCCCGATTTTAGCAGAAGTATTATTATTTGTTTATAATAACTGTGGTGTATATTATTATATCAAACGATGTTCGGTCATGGGACCTATTGGTCGATTGTAAACAAACATTCTATCCCTCTATAAGTATATATTTTTATTTTAGTTTTTAAATTCTAAAAAATTCCCTACTATAAAAAAAAAAACCTACTCTTCTGTTTTAGACACATCACATAACCCATAGTATTAAGTCTGCAGGCAAAAAGTTAGCGGGTTTATTTTTGCTTGTCCCGTGTGCGCGTGTAAAATAATAAGTATTGGTTATAAATGTGTGTAATCTAATATATATATATAAATGGTTAGAGAATTAATATGAAACACCAAGGAGCTGCTAACAATCCTTTTGAGTCTGCCAGAGTAAATTTTGAACAGAAGGTATGAGATGGATACGTATTTAGAATAAATCATTAAGCCAGATTTTTAAGGCCTATGAGAGTTCCTTGGTACTACTTCACTATGTCTTGTTTCTTCTTTATTACTATCGTTGCGGTGGGATATTACCTACTATAATATCCTACTATACTATATATATAGCGAGCAGGGAGCAGACATGAGCATTATTTTTAAATAGTGTACCTAACTAAAATAAAAATAAAATTGTATTTAGATAATAACTCATAAAAAAATACACTTTTGTTTTTATTTCAAAGATTTTAATAATAATTTTGAATACAATTTCATTATTTTTTATAAAATTATTTAAAATAAGACTATTTGGATTATATCTCGGTTAAATTGCAGTTGAAACTGCAATACGTTATAATTATGTTAAATAAATTCAAAATTTTTCAAAATAATGCTTTTAAAGTAGGGCTCAAATTGTTTTAGTATTGGTGACTGAGAATTGAAAATGTAGTAATAAAAAAAATTGTTAGCTGCCTAAAACATTTTAAAAATCAAAAAAATCAAGTCATAAAATATTTACGAAAGTACTCAAATATTTTAGTCGACAATTAAAATTTTAAAGTCGGCATCTTCATTTTGACACCCCCCCTTGCATATTTCTTAGCACCGGCCCTGATTGGACTTATAACTCCATTAACTATAAAAAAAGAAATTGCCGTAATAATTATTTATTATTACCTATTATCAATGATAATATTATGATTATTACTATTATTGTTATAATGTATTACTATTACTTTATTCTATCTGTTTGTCTTACATATATTTATTGTGTGATAATGTTATAAATTTGTTATAAGCCATTCGCTAAAATTATAAAACACCAACAAATACATTTTTTGTAGTTATTATAATAAACTTAATTGAATTTATTTAATCTAATTTGTTATTAATTTAATTACTAATTAATTATTTTGACTTATTAAAAAATCAAATTTACTTAGTTATATTTGTATTACTTCAATAAATACAGTTTTAAATAGTTCATATTATTAGTTTACCAATTTAAAATGTATGTTTTAATTCGTTTGTTAGACCACTATTGTGCTTAACGGCCCATTTATATTCTATTTCCAGAAAGTGTACTTTACAAGATATGGGATTTATACTGAAAATATACTATATCTATAGTCTATACTAAATATGCCTTATACTGAAATAAATTGATTATTTTGAAATATTGCCTTATCGTACAGGAGTTATTATAACTTCGGCGGGTAATTATGATTTACTACAATGTAGATATTAAACACATAGATAAAACAATTTTTTCAAAAAAAGAATGGTAGTTCAAAAATAAATTAATTCCAAAACCATATAACTTGATATGCAACTTAAAATTTATCCAAAATTTAAAAAATTTCCCGTAACCCTCCATAGAAGGGGGATCGTTAAACAAATTATTTAAA